AATAAAAAAATGAAATAAAAACAATAAATTCAATGAAAATAACACAAGCTAAAATAAAAATGTCAAAGACCATCAGTTAACAATAAAATGCAACACAATAAAATTATATAAATAAAATAAAACCTAAAATTAATTTAAAAAAACAATAAAATTAGTAAAAGTTAAATAAAGTAGTAGTACTTTTTTCAAAGCTTTTTCTGACAAATATCGCGTGAGCTGATAATTATTCTTTTCGAATAGACCACGCCCGGCACGCAGTGATTGAAATATAGCGGCCGTAGCTGACAGTGTACACCAAGACCGTGTAGAGTCGATTCGGCGTCGTTCGCAGCCACTCAGGCTGGCGTATAGAACGAGTCTACCCGAGCGACAGCACTTTGCTCTTTTGACTCTTGAAAAGTTCTAAAAAGATTCGACGTTTTCGAGTCAAATTTCGTTCAGCGATGAAACCCATTTTTGGTTCTATGTGTATATAAACAAGCAAAATTGCCACATTTGGAACGAAGAGCAAGATTCAAAAGCTGTCATTTTACGCAGAAAATGAATGAAGAATGAAATCATCGGTCCATATTTCTTCTAAAATGATACCAGTAAGAACGTAACCGTCAATGGCATTATCGTTATTGCGCCATGTTAACCGACTATTTGATGCCAGAAATTGGAGCTCGATCACGAAATATCGCGCGATATTTGGTTTCAACAAGACGGATGGAATTTCTATTAAACTAGAATTTTCTTGTTTTTTTTCTACGAAAAATTAGCGAACCTCGCAATGGCCCTTTATGAACTTTAATGAAATAGTATGGAGAATAAATTAAATATAATAAAAAAATAAATAGAATACAATAAAAAATAAAACAATATAATGAAATAATGAAATAAAATATAATGAAAAAAATAAAATAAAATATAATAAAAAAATAAAATAAATACTATGATCTAATGAATTTAACCTTTTTAATTAGAAGATAATAAATTTAATTAAAGCTAAATCAATAAATTCACTTAAATCGTTTTCGTGAAAAATTGAAAATTAAATGAAATGTGAAGTAAAAATTAAATAATTAAATGCTTTATTTACATACCATCATTATTGGTTAAATATTTGCACAAAATCCTTTAATTCTACACATTCGCATAATAGATTCTCTCTTCGCTCACTTATGCATACTCATTTATATTTTAACTTTCAAATACTTATTCATTTAAACATACTGGGCATTATAACACTTAGTTGGCAGCACACAATTAAGAGGAAAATAGCAGGACCAGGTTTATTTGTTTGAATATTCACTTGTGTGCCTTCATAACTTCAATTATTTTTAAATAAACATACAACTATGTTTGTTGTAACTACGTGTATGTACAATAAATGTATACGTTACTTAATTATTATGCATTACACAATGCCATTACATGGTTGGCCAATGTTTACGTATTCCTAAATTACACCTATGTACACGTATGTATGTATGTATGTATGTAAGTATGTACAACAATCTGCTCTGACTGCAGCAAACTGTAATAGAGTGTAGAAACAGGCTTTCGTAGAAATTCTCAAATCTAAGCTCATAATCATTATCCATGAAAGCTCCTACACAACTTACTGCCTTACTTTAAATTGTGCTTGTGTAGACGCAGAGAAATGGAAATGTGAAATGTGAAATTTGAACAATGACCATAAGTTAAGTGTGCATATGTATGTGTAGATATACATATGTATTTGGACAGACATAGTATGTATTTATATTTGACATATGCTTCAATGTCTGTACATATGCTTATGTCAACAAATGCACCGAAGAAAAGAACTGCCCATTGAAGTGCGTACGTGTGTGCACATTAAACTACAACTAAGGTCTCTCTCCATTATCCTAACTGGCTGAGTGGCTCTGAATGCAGTCAGTGAAATTCATATTTATTAGAATTTAATTGTCTGTATGTTGCATGCAAATGTCTTCGTCTTGTAAATTTTCATTAGAACAAAAGGTGACTTTAAGCATAGTTGCTGCTATCTCTACATACATATGAATTTGTATATATGTTGTATACTTTACATATATAATATAAATATATAAACCTAAGGTGTTGTAGGTAATATATAATATTAGACAGGTCAAGTAAAAAGTTCGTTCGGTTTTTAGCTGAGAGATGGCGTTATTGTCCATAGAACTAGTGTACGTGTCTCATCATGCCATACTATACGGCGCTGAAAACGTGTTTATTTGCGCTAAAAGTTTGTCTTTGACAGTTTTCCGATGGTTTGACTCAGTACGTTGTGAGCGCTCGTGGAAGATGGACACCAGCAAAGAGAAAATTCGCTATATTTTACAATTTTTCTTCGATTAAGGCGAAAAAGCAGGCAAAGCGACTGAAAAAATTAATTTAGTTTATGGGTCCAATACTGTAAACGAACGTGTAGCACAAAAGTGTTTTGCTAGGTTCCGTTCCGGTAATTTCGATGTCAAAAATGCACCAGGTTTAGCTGTGTGTTTGGTGGAATTGGCAAGGAATCATCCACTACGAGCTGCTCCCCTATGTCCAAACGCTCAATTCGCTGCTCTACTGCCAACAACTGGACCGCTTGAAGGCAGCACTCAGCCAGAAGAGGCCATCTTTGATCAACAGAGGTCGAATTGTGTTCCATCAGGACAACGCCAGGCCACATACGTCTTTGGTGACACGCCAGAAGCTCGGATGGTAGGTCCCAATGCACCCTCCTTATAGTCCGGGCCTGGCACCAAGTGATTACCATCTTTTCCTGTCCATGGTAAATGCGCTTAGAGGTGAGAAATTGGCCTCAAGAGAGGCCTGTGAGAATTGGCTGTTCGAGATTTTTTGCCAATAGCCTTCTAAGAGAGGGTTGGCATCTCGTTGGCAACAAGTTTACGAACAAAACGGCGCATATTTGACTTAAAGCGGACAATTGTTAGTCTAGTAAAAAGTAATCCATTATTTTTGCAATAGATAGTTTCAGTGATATGTATCTCACTTTCTATAAGTGCAATTGGCTTACGCTGCGCATGGTGACTAGTGATGAAATCTGTCGTGGTCGCGAGGCAGTAAGCCACCACAAACTGCCGGCAAACCAATATTGACGGCTTGAAAGATTTCCTTTTTGTGTTTCGTGAGATTGGATTGAAGAGAATCTTTCACTATGAGTTGCTGGCCTCCGAAAGAAGCAATCGTTCAGAAACACTAGAAGGTGAGACAAAATGGGAATTGCGTTCCATCAGCACAACTCCAGATCACACACATCCATAATGACTCGTCAGAAGCTCCAAGAGCTTGCTTGGGATGTACTTATACTTCCACCTTATAGTTGGGTTGTCGCTTCACGTGATTACTAACTGTTCATGAGTTTGACTAATAATGCTAATAGGTAATTGGAGAGCGATTCAATAGCATAGCCTTTATCACTTCACACACGACGGCGATTACTATCATACGCAATATAGAACCACAAATCGCTAATCGGCAGTAGCTGGACGAAACACCCAATAAGCTTACAAAGCCGTCGGTTCGCTCCATAAATGTAGTCCATGGAGACTAGTGAGACGTGACAGAAGCGTAAGGGCAAGCTTGCAGAAGAAGTAATAGTGTCACAGGGGTTTATACTTATTTGTCGTGTTTTATCCATTCTTCACCATTTGGCACCTCCGTTGGACACAAAAACATATGGACAGCCTTTAAACGAATGGGTTAAGAGTCACAGTGCTTTTGATATCCTCGTGAGACCACCGTAATCCAGACAAATAAATCCCGCAGACCAAAGACGTTCTTTACTATGCTTAACCCAACAGATATCTCAAATGCAATGTCCTTTCAAGTCAAATGGGACTAAGCAAACGCAATGGCGGGCGCGGTGGCCGAGTGGTTAGTATTGCGTACTGCCATTCGGAAGGCTTCCGCTCAAATCCCCGTGCGACTAACATCCAAAAGTTATAATAGAAAATTAATTTAAATAAAAAATTGAGCTGAATTTCTAATTTCGGTGCCCCTCGACAGGGAATGTCAACCCCTTCAGGTGTATTTCTGACATGAAATAAAGGCTCCTCATAAAAAAACCATCAGCCGTTCGGAGGCAGCTTAGTATAAACTGTTGGTTCCTCGATTTGTTGGAAAAACATCAACTCGCAAAAACCACAAATTGGAAGAGGAGCTTGGCGGAAAATCGCTTCAGTGGTCACAAAGCGCCAGTTATATATATATTTATATATAATGGCTTAGTAGTTCTATTTGAGCCTAGTATGAATGAAAAGACAGGAACATACAAGATAACAAGTTGAAGGAGAAAGGGCCCTTTCTTTCCCGCTTCGCCATCGTGGAAGAGTCTAGGCATGTTGAGTTCCTATTATGAGCTTATCATAGGAGGTTTTTCATCATAGTTGCGCATTCAAGCGGAATAGTTTAAATTTCTGCAATGTAACTAGAATATTGTGACGAACCGGAAGCAAGAGAAGACCGAGAAAGCTTATCTTGCCAAAGAGAAAAGAGTTGTCCAACATGATATGTCCTCTGACAGCGGATCTTCTTTTAAGTAGACACGCTGTAAGACTGGGTGTATCATTAAACGACTGCTGCAGAAGTTTTAGGGCGAAGGAAGCACCTTAGGCTCTTCCTTTGCGAATGTACCGCACTTTGGAGGAATAGATTGCATTCTCTAGAGACGGCAACCTGTGGAAACATGAACCAGATAGCGAATGCAAAATTGCCTGTTTTACTTACTGCACACATTAATTTGCCTAGTGGGTGGAAACCAAATTGAAACCGGGCTCGTTTGGTGACCTAAGTGTGTTGATGCCAGGCTCCACTTCAACCTAGCCGCACCCAAGCAAACGCTATTAAAACAGCTTTGATACAATTATCAGTAGAGTGGTTGATATTATTTATGGGAGCTACAGATAAATCGATCGTTTTCTTTATGATTTTTATTTATTAAAAATTAGGTTTTCTTTTTATAAAATTTCTTTTTCTTCTCTACCACTTTTGAATTGCAGGTCAAGAAGACATGCGGCACACCAAAACTGCTACCCTCTCTCACCGCAGACAGTGAGCCACGTCCATTGGCAGCGCATAACATCAAATGGGCCACACCACCAGATGCGGAAATTCTGCATTTCCAATCTACAATTGAAAAATCCAAAGAATTCTTTACGAACATCGTCAGCAAGTGAGTAAATGTGTATTAAAGTGATGTTAACTGCCTGAAATTAATTATCAAGAAGTAGAGTTGGGCACTTACCAGTTTGCTTGTGCTGAGTTAAATTGACAGTTCTGTAGCTTTAGTGACGTCCCCAAGCAATTTGTGCTTATTTGACACTTGACAGTTGACAGTTGACAAATATGAAGAGTTCAATAATTTGCTGTTACTAAATTATTTATTGCGTCCGCACGAGGCTACTGCTAAGCGTGCGCTCTACGAACGAGATTCAGCGTTCAGAGTGTTAGGTATCAAACTCAATACAAGCGTGACGTCATTATTGTTAAAAAAGCAACTTAAAATGGCATGTATGACGTGAATAAAAAACATGTTTTCTCTTTATAAATAAAATTCGTACTTAAATTTATATTTTTTTTTCAATTCGGTTTTTACATTTACTGCAAGGGGCTACAATTTTTAGGACCCCATTTTGCCAACTAATTTCGTACACGTACTATTTTGTAATTTACACTCCGAATCTTGCGTAGCACATCACGTAGAACTGTATAGTAGAGCGGCGCTAAAATGGCCGCGCTGAAAAAGACAACATTGCAGATCATCTCCTTGTTCGACATGCTCATGCACGGCTGTGGATCAGAAGAGAGTTCAAATAAGAAGTGATTTTTTATAGAAATGTCTCTTAAAATTATCCCAAACCAAAACTTACCACTTTCACGGGCGGCGACGGTTTGGGTTGAAACACATCGTGTATGGTATCTCGGGCTCCACGAACAAAGGACGTTAACATTTTGAGTTTTAGGATTTTGTATTTCTTGGCGGAATTTCGACGAGACGTTAGCGTTGAACTTATTAGAATGAATTAAAAAAAATATTTTAAGCTTCACAAGCAAAAAAATTTGTTAAAGACAATTATGAATTTTTTTGAAAACTAAATTGTCATTTTCTGATTTTTGACTGATTTTTTTTTACATATTTTTCTTCCTTTCCTCATGTCTTTCCTTCTTACAGTGTCTGCGAGGATGATGACATACAACGCAACGATCATAACTGCTGGACAGGCGATCGTATTGGCGAATATAATAATTTAGTTATGACACCTGGTGTGGATACGCAACGTTATAATCCCGAAGTACCGTTGACACCCAATTCACAATCGACGAAACTGAACGAATTGGTGGATAAGTTAATTAAAGTGCGCAAAAATATTGGAACTGCGGTAAGTGGTCTCTAAATAAATTACTGAGCATTTGTGGTCTACGATTAATCAACGATCATAATTTGAATTAATTCGTAAGGCCAGGATTCGAGTCCGGTTTCGACCATCAGCAATTGCGTTCGATTGTTCGCAGGGAATGTTAAACCTATGCCGCGTCTATTTCTGACTTGAAATAATAGTTCCTCATAAGTATGCATCAGCCGTTCGGTGGCGGCTTAGTATAAACTGTAGGTCCCTCCATTTGTTGGAAAAACATAGAGACGCAGAAACAGAAATTAGGAGAAGGGTCAAAATTGTTCCTCGGTTTCTAAGCACCAATCTGCACAATCATTTCTCACTTTTAATTGAGTTAGGCGTATAGATTTTTTAAGTTGTCTTGTAATGGGTTGATTGTTTGATTTAGTTGTTACTCCCATCGACTGTAGGCCATTTATCATTCTAGCCAGTCAAAGCCATTGAAAGTTAGTTGTGGAAGCTGTTTGTTTATGGAACCCTTATCAAGCGGACCTACTGACCCGTTGTAATGCAGCGGCGAACGCAGCTGCTCCTCTGTTGTCATTGCGGCCTTAGTGGGTGCAGTGTTATGTATTAAATAAGTTTCTGGCAGCAGTGTGTACTCTGGTCCTTAAATATTTAGTATGTGGGACAGCGTTTTCATACTTATGAATGAGGTTAAGCTGACGATAGACGGGTTTGAGATGTGTCCACCAGAGGCGCCACAGACACTCAATACTGGCAATAGGCAACTAGCAGAGGCTGGGATGACACCAGTTTTTTCGCTAGGCAGGCTTTTTTTGAGACCTTTGAAGACCCTTCCTCCGTTTCTGCCCGGTTCTATCTATATAGAACTCGTTTTCGACATTTAGGAGAAGAAATAATTATCGGTGCAACAATAATGGCGAATTTGAGCTTTTTTTGGTAGCAAAACTTACGAGTATCTTCTAATTGCTTCGAAACCATTTAAGACTTTCAGAGACCCCTCCGCTATTTAAGAAAAAACTGGACCTTTTTTTTTTGGTATCTTGGGACTACTGGGGGGCGGGGAGGGAGGTGTTTGACGTAAGATCGTTGCTTGAATCACAGTGATGCTTATTCAGATCATGTCTGGAGTTCATATACTCGTAAGTTGAACAAAGCTAATAATGAGTCAGGAAGGTGGTCGCCAGCAGGAGGCTGCTAGTATCAGATTGGGCTTACAAACCATGTAATTATGCTCCTTAATCTCCTGCGCTTGCATTGTTAAGAGCCGAAATCCGAAGAATAGCTGTGTAGCTCCTTCAAATACTCTGAAGTTCTGTACCATTTTTTGTACTCCTGAGCTCTAGATAAAAACTCTTAAAATTTTTTTTTTTAATTTTTTTTTGTCTATTTTCCACCCTCAGGTACCATCTGCCACACGCTCATACTCTGACATCCAAAGTGATATGGCGCGCCACGACGAAGAGGGCTCCGGCCACATGCCCGACGATATGGATGATGAAGAGTACGGCAGTCAGAATGGCTCCGGTGACGGTTCCGGCGATGGTAAGCTATACACACACACATATGCAAATATGGAAAATCAATTTTCACTAACATATAATTTTGTAATTTTATTTTTTTTTTTGTGCAGGTCCCAGCCCAATACCATTCGATCCACTAAGTCCAACCGAGATCACCAACAATGATATCGAGTCACGTCAAGAGAATGCGGCGACGCACAGCCACAGCCGCTTTAGAAGCTCTCTGATTGCCGCCGCAATCGTACTAGTCACAATTGTTGCCAGCCGTTTCACAAGCAGCAGCTAAATGGGGAAGTAAGAAAATAGCATAAAATGGAAGAAACAAACACAACAACAGCAAGAAGTAGCTCTGAAGGCTACAAGCGACAAGCAGCCAGCAATAGAATATTTATGTGAAATGTCAAATCGAAACTTTATTTCACATTAGTAATACTATAAATAATTAATTTATATGAAATGAGAGAGTAACGGAGGTGAAGGAACGGCGAGGGTAGGAGAGTAAGAGAGCAAAGAAATTAATTAAAATAAAAATAAACTCAATTAACTGACTGTGTATGTATAAAATTAACAAAAAAAAAAACTATTTAAACGCGTTTATATAAACATGCATATAAACATACATTTGCACATATGCTATGTATATACACTGCTGCGTCAGGTGTACATGTGTGAGTAAAACTACATTACAAACAAAAAAAAAATTATTTAAAAAAAATAGAAATTTAGGGTGCAACTCTATTTAACTTTAGCGTATACTAATACAAATATACATAAATATATATATTGATAAATACATATATAGTGTAGTAAGAACTTACGCCACTTAGTATAGACATACAGTTATATAAATAAATACATGCAAACAAACATTTATAAAAAGCGATAAATAAATATATTACAAGTATATATGTATGTATGAAAATACATATATTATTAAAATATTATATATACAAATATATATAGTTACTTGACTAATGCAAGCAGTCAAATTTTCGGAAACAAGCACTAGAATACATATGTAGCATACTTTCAGGCGCACAAGTCCGCTCCCATAAACATAGCGAATTTATTGTTTAATGAATATATATGTATGTATATGTATGTATGGTATGCAAAAATGGCGCATCATTTAGAGCTTTAGTAGTAATAGTTTGTTGCCCTTGTACACATCCAGCTGAAACTGTAAATAATAATTTAAAAAAAAAATCTACACTCAAAAACAAACAAAGAATTAAAATTAACGAAAAAAAAAATTAAAGTTATGAAGAATTGAAATTTTTTCGAAACAATTTATTTTCCTCGGGTGCTGAGTTTGTCATTGTTTTGTGTATTTAGCATAGTTTAATAACACTATCTTATAATTTAGTAGTTTATATATGTATGTATACGCTATGGAAAAAATATCAACATTTTTTATTTAACGGTGTAAAGTGGCAATGTGAGAAATTTAATTGAATAGGCACTAAAAGTAAATTTACAAAAAAAAAATTAATTTAATTAATAAAAAAATATATACAACAACGCGTAAAGAAATGAATGAGAAAATAAAATTTAAAAAAATCTGCAGATAATAAAATTTAGGCGTAAAAAAATTGTTACATCAAAACGGTAATAAATTTATTGTAAAGAAAAATGTAAAACAAATTAAAAAAAAAATTATTACAGCTGTTGTTATATAAAATTTTGCTACATTCAAAGTTAGTTTTTGCTTTTGGCATAAAATCAATTTTTATTTAATTTTATTTAATGTCTTTTTTTTTTGTCGAAAATTATCTAACTTTTTCTTATTGGCTTTAAAATGTTGCTGCCAACATACATTAGAAATTAAAACCGTTTCTACACTGTTTATAAGAGACTAACTAGTATATGCTAAAATGTGCTGTTAAGTTTTTTTACTAGCGAAAACAAAGCAAATATAAAGGAAAAATATTGTGCTTCTGCAGAAATGTTCGTGCATTAGCCGCAAAGCTTAAAGTAAAACTGGGAAAATAATAAAACAAATTGCTTTAAGTTAATATATAATAAAACCGTTTATATTTTTCATTATTTGTAAATGCATCAAGATGTATGAATTCAAGAAATTATTTTATAGTTCTTTTTATGTGCTCTTACTTATTTTTAAAGTAGATTTAATTATTTTATTACTTTTTTGTGTGTAATAGTTTTCTTGTTGCCCAAGATTTTCATTTGTTTTTTCAATCATTTATTTCGTATAGAATTTTTTCTGTTTTTTCTTCATATTATTTTATTTTAATTTTATTCACTTTATTTAACTTAGTTGTTTCATTTTATATTACTTTATTTTATTTTATTTTATTTTATTTTATTTTTTTTTTATTTTTTTTTATTTTATTTTATTTTATTTTATTTTATTTTATTTTATTTTATTTTATTTTATTTTTTTTTATTTTATTTTATTTTATTTTTTTTTTTAATTTTATTTTATTTTATTTTATTTTATTTTATTTTATTTTATTTTATTTTATTTTATTTTATTTTATTTTATTTTATTTTATTTTATTTTGTTTTATACAATTATTATAAATAATTTATTTTATTCTTATTTTTCTTCATTCCATTTAATTTTAATTTCTTTACTTATTTTTATTCATTTTATTTTATTTAACTCTTATATATATCATATATTCTCTTTTATTTTTGTATTATATTATTTTATTTTATTTTTGTATTAATTTATTTTATTCCCTTTAATTCTTTTTTTATGATATTTATTCCATTATTTTTTTTTATTATTTTATTTACTTCTTTATTTGATGTTAATTTATTTAATTTTTATTTTAATTTATTTTATTTTTTATTTATTTTATTTTATTTAGTTGCTTTTTCTTTTCTTTTATTACATTTAATTTTATTTTAGTTGTTTATTTATTTCGTTTCATTTTATTTCTATTTTTATTTAATTAATGAAAACAAGATCTTATACTTTTCTCTCATCTTCTTCCTCTAGTAATTTACTATTGTAATTATTATTATTTTTTCTTTTAATTTCATAATAAAAAAAAATTGTAAATATAAAATACAGTTAGTACATACGAGTACATACACACACAGAGAAATAATGTTACTAAATGCACAATCAAAAACTCATAATTTTAATATGTGTCAAACTAAATTGTGTTTATTATGTAATATGAAGAATAAATATGATGTTTAATTTTTCAATAGAAAATAAAAAAAACCGACTTTTATTTTATTTTTTATTTTTCAGTTGTAAGACGATTTCCTTTAAATTTCTTTATTGTGATCTTTGATTTTAACTTTGATTTTTTCTATTGAGCCTTCCACCGCTTTTCTTGCCACTACACAAGCGTTTGTTTATTTAAATTAACCTATATATATAAAGGAAAATTTGAAGTTTTATACAAAATAAAATATTACTAATTTTCAAATCTCCACTAACTAAAGAAAATTTAATACATAATACAGAGCTGAATTGTAATTTAAACAATTTTGTTCAACGAAAAATATTTCATTGCTCTGAAGAAGACTGTTTGGTACCAGATCTGTTTTTGATTCCCCAATATGTTTTTTTCAATATTTTTTATTAATTTTATTTCACATTAAACGCTTTTGCAAAGCCTTGATCGTAAACGATCTAAGCGGCTGACTAATGCCTATGGAATTTAGACGAAAGAGATGAAATTTTCTTCCAAAATAAGAAGAAGAAGAAATTAAATGATTAAAATTATATATATACATGTGTTATTAAAAGAAAATTAGTATACGAAAAAATAAAAATTACAAATGTTAATAAAGCTATACATAATTTTTTAGTGTGATCCAAATGTAGGCAAGCCTCAAGACCGTAATTACATATATTGAAAATGTACGATATTTACTAGATTTACGATATTTTAACTGCATATAATTACGCACAGATAAAACTTTATATAAACATTGTTGTAAAAAGCCTAAAACTAAATTAAATCAAACAAAATAAATCTAATTAAAATTAGTACAAAAGACATAAATAAAATTTTATCAAATATAAATTTAAAAAAAAAATAAAAGAAAATATTGAAAATAAAATTTAAAGAAAACTTTATTAAATTGAAAATAAATAAAATGAAAAAATCTAAACTAAATACAAATATAATTACAAAAAATAATATAAAACAAAAAATGTATAAATTGAATAAAAAGGTAAGTCAAATTGGACTTAAATAAAATAATAAATCATTAAAATAAAAAATTATAAAATAAAATAAAGAAAATTAATTAAAGTGAGATATAGTTAAAGTTAGGTTAAAAGAAAATCAAATTAGAAAAAAGAAAGAAAATAAAAATAATAAGAATAAAAAATAAGTTTCGTTTAAAAAAATGAAATTAAATTAAAATCATCTAATTTTTAAAAACAATGTAACTTTATTAAAAGGAATATAAAATGAAATTTAACAAAAATTAAATTGAAAAAGAAGAAAAGAAATTAAGGAAATAAACTAATAAAAATTAAAATATAATAAGGAATATTAAATTTAACCCAAATAAAATTAAATAAATATTATGGAGAAAAATGAAATAAAACTAAATTTAATTTAAAATAATACAAAATAATCTGAAATAAAAAAAGCATTTAAATATATTTAATTAAAAAAAGTAATAAAATAATTTATATAAAACAAAAAAAAAAAACAAATATTGAATAAAATTTATGACAGAGAATGAATTAAAGAGAAAATTAAACCAAATAATAAAAGAAAGAACTCGAATAATAAAAATAACTTAAAATGAAATCAAAACCATCGGATTGTGAAATAAAACAAAAGAAGGGAATTAATATAGAATAAAATAAAATAACACAAACTTAAATTAAATGAAAAAGTTATAAAAGAAATAAAAAATGAAAATATAATTTAAATAATTCTAATTAAAATAAAGCAAAATTATATTAAAACGAAATAAAATTATATGGAGTAAAATATATTAATATTAAATAATCAAAAATAAAATTATTATTAAAAAAATTAATATTAAATAATCAAAAATAAAATTAATATTAAAATAATATAAAACAAATTTAAATTAAAATACAATAATATTAAATAAATTGAAATAATAAAGAATCAAATTAGATATACCAAAGTGAAACAAATGAAATTAATTTGATATAAAATAATATAAGATACACTAAAAGAAATAAACTGCTAGAGAAAAAATAAAATAAAATACATTATATTATGAAATAAAATTAAATTGATGTAGAAATGAAAAGAAATAAAATTATTTAAAAGAAGTAAAAAGAAAATAAATTAAAATAAAATTAAATTAAATTAATTTAAACTAAATTAATTAATAATTAAGTAAATTAATATAAAAAATTATAGTAAAAAGCTAATCAAAATGAAATAAAAATAAATTAAATAAAAAACTAATCGAACGAAAATAGAAAATAAATTAATTAAATAAAGAATATTAACTAAATAATTTAATGTAGATTGATATAAATAAAAATCAATATGAAAGAAATAATATTGCATTTAATAAAAGAAACGAATAAATTAAATTAAAAAAAAAAATTCAAATGAAAGAAAGAAAGATAAAATTTATACCAAAATTAATTAAAATAAAATAAATAAATATGTATATATTATATAAATTAAAGTCAAAATAAATTAAAAATAAAAAGTAAAAATCAAATCAAAATAAAAGAAATATTAAAAAAATTGAACTAAATTAATTTCAATAAATTATCAGTTAAAATTAAAGTTAAATTAAAAAAATAAAAAAAAAAAATATTAAATTAAAATTAAATAAATTAATATTGGGTAAAATTAATATAAATTAAAATGAAATAAAATAATATATAAAAAAACGAAATTTAAATAAACTAAAATTAAATAAACCCAATTAAAATAAAATAACTAAAAATAAATTTAAACTAAAGTATAAATTAATATAATTAAAATTAATTTAATTAAGTTAAAATCAATATAAACCCAAAAATATTCAACAAATTAAGGGAAAAAATTAATTAAAGTTAAATGAAATAAAAACAATGGAATAAAACATAAAATAAAACTATAAAGCAAATAAATGTTATAAAATAAATGAAAGAATAGGAAAAATATTCAAAATAATATGATGGAAAATTAAATAAAATTAAACAAAGCAATATAAAAAAATAACGCGGTAAATAAAATAATACAGAACAAATAAAATTAAATAAAAATAAACTTAAATGTGATAAATTAAATGAAAAAATTGATATATAGACAACATGAATAAAATAAAATATAATAAAAAAAAACAAAAACAATAAGTTAAAAGAAACTTTATATAAAATTAAATAATAATAAATTGAAGTGGAAATAAAATAGAAAATAAAATAATAAAAGTAAAGTTAAATTAAATTAAACAAAACAGAAGAAAATAAAATGGAATAAAATAAATTAAATACAAATAAACTAAAATGTTATAAATTTAATGAAAAAATTAGAAATAAGTAAAATAAAATATAACAAAAAAATAGAAAAAAAACTATAAATTAAAAGAAAACATTATAAATAATAAATTGAAGTGGTAAAAAAATAAAAAATAAAATAGAACAAGTAAAACAAAATAAAATTAAATTAAACAAAAACCGAAAAAAATAAATAAAATGAGATAAATTCAATGACAAAACAATTATAGAAAAAATTAACTAAATTAAAATAAATTTAGTAAAACAGAAATGCATAATTTAAAAAAATAAAATAAATTTAATAAAAATAAATTATTATATTATTAAATGAAATTAAATGAAACAATTATAATAGAGAAAAAATTAATAAAAAATTAAACAAAATATAGAAGCAGTAAATTAAAAAAAAAATTATATAACAAAAAAATTGATTAATTGAATTTGAAATAAAATAAACTAAATGAGAGTAAAATAAAACAAAAAATAATAAAAAAATCAAACAAAACAGAAGAAAAATAAAATGTGAGCAATACAAGGAGATAACAGTATTATAGAAAAAATAAATTAAATAAAGTGAAATAAAATAAAGTGGGATAATTTAAAATAAAATAATACAGAAAAAATGAATTTAATTAAAATAAAATAAATTAAATTTAAAAAAATTATAATATGGAAAAAATAAACGAAATAAAATTAATTTTTATATAATACCACATAATAATGAAATGGAAATTGAAATAAAATAAAGTAAAAAACAATAAAATAATAATAAAAAATATTACTAAATGCAAATTTTCTGTAAAATAAGAAATTAAATGGTGACACAGGCTCACAAACAGTGTTCAAATTATATTGTTCCTTTTGTGTGGTGTACTAATTAAAATGCATACATATATAGACTTTATGTACGTTACACTTAAAAACATTCAAAAGTACATACATACGTATAGCTATATATTGTATTTCACCGTAACGAAATGCCAAAAGAAAAATGAAACTCATATATACAAAAACAAACAAATAGGCTTAATCCATACAAAGCTTAAGCACGAAAATAGTGTAGTGAAAATTTTTGTAGTTGAAAATCCATAAAAAACATTAGTAAAGTAAACGACAAAATGCACAAAAACTTTTTTTACACAAATTTTGCTAGTCACTCAGAGGCAAAAACATAAAAAAAAAACAAATGAAAGCTTGAGAGTTAAAAATGCATAAATAGATGCTTAAAAATTAAATTATTTTATAAAGAATAAAATCTACATATATAACTTTGAATCATTTTTTTTTCAATGATATTATGGAAATTTCAAAAATTTTATTTTTGTGTGATAAATTCACAATTTTTAGTTACATAAAGTAAAAACAACTTATTTTCAAATTGAAATTTAATGAATGAAAAAAGTTTGACTAATTTCGGGTAAAATATAAATTTAAAAAAAAGTAAAGAAAAAAATAAACTTATTAAATTTTTTTTTCGAAAATTACGCGGAAGTAGAAATTTTTTTTCTTTTTCACGAAAAACCAAACTGGATTTAAGCTGTTGAAAGTATTGAATGCAAAATAAAAACAACAACAAATCGATAGCATATATTATATTATATAAAAAATTGTATTAAACTGAAAGCAAATCATAGCACAAGACTTTATGGGCACGAATGCATACATATGTACGCACGTATATGGTAAGAACTAAACTAACTTATATATAATATACCAACATGCAAGCATATACATACATACATGCATAGATATATTTAAATGATAATTGTTAGGTTAGTGACTGAAATCGCTGTTTAGTTATAAAAAAAAATTTAAAGAGAACAAAAATAATTAAACAATATTATTGAATTATAAATATTTAATAATATTTTAATTTAAAAAATATTTAAACAAACGCAATTTAAATAATTAACTAATGTATTTACTTGTACAATAATAATTTGATTGAAAATAAAAAAATATTTATTAACTAAAAACTGCATATATCTATATGTAGGTATGTTATGTAAAAAATAAAGGGAAATGTAATAAATACGAAAATTATTAATAAAAATATTTAGCAAAGCAAACACACTAATTTAGTTAGTAGCAAATTAACAATTAATTAGTGATTAGTAATAATTGTATAATAAAAAAAAAAATTTAAAAATAAATTTAAAACAAAAATTAAAAATCATCTTACGCGCAAACAGGTCTAAAAATCTTAATTATTACACTTTGTATTACCTCATACCTACGTCCCAGGCCTATTTACTAGAAAGCATTGTCTCCCAAAAGCGGCTCCGCCCTCGTTAATTCTCGTTAAGAGCGCACGCTTTCGTTTGCCTGTGGAACGGAAAAACTCACGAACAAACCTTGAAAAGTAAATTGACCTATAAGACAACAGTCCAGTGTAATCTCTGCAGTTCGAGTTCTGCTCTGGAGCTCTGGTCCGAACACTGTCTAAAAATTGTATTAAAAATATTTTTTCTAATAACGGTCGCTCGTCCGCAAGGAATGCCAAGCTATCCGAGTGTGTTTCTGATATGAAATAAAAGCTTCTGGTAAAAATCCATCGGCAGTTCGAAGGAAGCTTAGAATACACAGTAGCTCCCTCCATTCTTTGGGAAAACGTCAAGATGCACGCCGTAAACTGGAGAGGGAACGCAGTCGAAAATCACTTCAGCGGTCAAAAAGCGTCAATCACATTTTCAGGTTTAAAGCCTCACTGGAAAGAGTTATTTCTGTCAAACAGCTGGAAAATCGTACAACCTGAGGCTATCATTAGCATCTGTGGTGCGTTGGATCTTCAGTTAATTCAAGTGAGCGACTTTTCGCTGTTCGTGAAAGGTTCAACCTCATCGTCAGCTGCATAATTTACTGTTGTCTACATCATCACATGCTCATCATGCGTAGGTTCAAGAATAAAAGGGCAAAGCCTCTGGAGAGAATCTTGTATAGATAATCATCCATCAACGGGTGTTCTAACTTCCAGAATTTTTCAGGGGAGGTTATTACCATCGTTGGTGGTGGTGGTTTTGAAACAGGGTAACATTTGTTTATACAGGCATTCGGCTGTTTCGACCCTGGATTTACTAATGTTGAGTTTCAAAACTATAAAGAAATGCTACCGAAAATGGGTGCGTTCAACCTACTCAGCAAACGCTGTGCCAGCCCCTGCACATGTGCAACTGTGGTATAGGTCAAGAAAGCTCTCTTAATATACCAAAATCAAAACAATCGGAAACACTGAGAGTTCGGTTTTAGTCGATGGGCATACACGTGGAAAGTGTTTGGTTTTTATCAAATCCCTGTGTCGTTGTAGTCTAAAGCAGGACTGAAAATTCTCCAATCGCATATTTTTATTGACTCTGGAGAGTATACAGAATTGTTACATACATTCACTAAATGAAAAGTCTCGTTTCGTTCATGAAATTTTACTTTTGCAGCATCCCAACGAACACAACTTAGGTATCTATGCTGAATCATTTTGTTTTAACGGAAGTCTTACTTTCCTTTGCTTCCACAAGCCGAAAAAAACTGTATTATTTTATTTGCTTTCTTTCGGATCTAAGTGAAGTGTAAAACAAACTCATGGAACCGACTCTACCATTTCACTTTTTCCCGAAATAGCTAATTTACGAGAACATAAGCCAAAGAATCTTTATGAACGTACTTTGGGTTCCCTCATAAATCTTCATTCTTTGCCGGAAGTGCATTAAAAGCAGTTTTCGGAGTCGAAAAATGCAACCCAGCGTTTTGTGTGTGCTTTGGGATATTAGTTTCATTGCACAGATGTCGCCCAATCATGTTGTCATATGCGCGCATATAAGTTTTGGCGCCAAATAAACAAATGAAATTATCAAAAAGTGTGTTTATGTGTTGTGCAGCTGTCGAGTTCATTTGCATTTAAGTTTTCTTGTTGAGCTAATTTGATTTTACGCAAAATTAATAATAATAAAAAGTGTCAAAAATGTCGCGACGTGATTATATACAAGACAAAGGTGTGTTTTTTATTTAATATATAAAGATATTTCTTTAAAAAATATGCTTTACAGAATCGGTAAAGACATTCCTATCGGAATTCTGCAAGGAAGACGATAACGGCAAGAAACAGTTCATTTATGCTAATCAACTTGTGAAAATTGCGCATCGTGAACAGATACTTATCACGATTGATTTGGATCATGTATCGGAATTCAATGAAGATCTCGCTGAATCAATTATTTCCAACAGCCGTCGTTATGCCAGCATGTTCAGCGATGCCATTGCTGAGCTGTTACCCAGTTTCAAGGAGCGTGAAGTGGCCGCTAAAGACGCATTGGATGTTTATATCGAACATCGTTTGATAATGGAACAACGTACACGCAATCCAATGGAACAACATGATCAACGTAACAACTTTCCACCAGAGTTGATGAAGCGATTGTAAGCATAATGAATACTTGAAATTTTAATTATTTGTATGTATGTGTGTATGTTTTTTTTTTAGTGAAGTAGCTTTTAAGCCACATTCGAATGAAAAAGCAAAATCCATACGTGAAATCAAAGCGGAACATATTGGTAAACTAGTAACCGTACGTGGTATTGTGACCCGCTGCACGGAAGTAAAACCAATGATGGTTGTAGCAACATACACTTGTGATCGTTGTGGTTCTGAAACATATCAGCCGGTAAATTCGCTCAGCTTTATACCAGTACAAGATTGTCCCTCCGATGATTGTCGCGTTAATAAAGCAGGCGGCCGTTTGTACTTGCAAACGCGTGGATCCAAATTCGTCAAGTTTCAAGAAATAAAAATACAGGAGCATAGCGATCAAGTGCCCGTCGGACATATACCGCGTTCAATGACAGTTATGTGTCGTGGTGAGGTAACACGCATGGCACAACCAGGAGATCATGTACTGATTTCTGGCGTTTTCTTGCCATTGATACGTTCCGGTTTCCGACAGATTATACAAGGTCTACTCTCTGAAACATTCCTGAGCGCATATGTATGTATAATGCATTATAACTCGTTGACGTTAATTATTTTTTAATTCATTTAACTAGCGCATTGTTTGCATCAACAAGAATGACGAAGCAAGTGACCAAGAGAGCGAACTAACAGCCGAAGAATTACAAGAATTGGCGCAAGACGATTTCTATGAGCGTTTAGCTACTAGTTTAGCGCCGGAAATTTACGGTCATTTAGATGTAAAGAAAGCCTTACTGCTACTTTTGGTCGGTGGTGTGGACAAGCGTCCGGATGGCATGCGCATACGTGGCAACATAAATATTTGCTTGATGGGCGACCCCGGTGTGGCCAAATCGCAGCTACTCAGCTATATCAGCCGTCTTGCGGTGCGTTCACAATACACCACCGGTCGTGGTTCATCGGGTGTAGGTCTAACCGCCGCCGTAATGAAAGATCCACTCACTGGTGAAATGATGCTGGAGGGTGGCGCTTTAGTGCTCGCCGATTTAGGTGTGTGCTGCATTGACGAATTTGATAAAATGGCGGATCATGATCGTACAGCTATACACGAAGTTATGGAGCAACAGACTATATCTATTGCCAAAGCAGGCATTATGACCACGCTGAATGCACGTGTCTCCATTTTGGCAGCAGCCAATCCAGCTTTTGGTCGTTACAATCCACGTCGTACAGTCGAACAGAATATACAATTGCCCGCTGCTTTACTGTCACGTTTCGATTTACTCTGGTTGATGCAGGATAAACCAGATCGTGATAATGACTTGCGTTTAGCTAAGCATATCACTTATGTGCACAGTCATAACAAACAACCGCCGACTAGAGTTAAAGCGCTCGATATGAATCTTATGCGTCGTTATATTAATTTGTGTAAACGTAAGAACCCGACCATACCAGATGAGTTGACGGAATACATTGTGGGCGCTTATGTTGAGCTGCGACGTGAGGCGCGTAATCAGAAGGATATGACTTTTACATCGGCTCGTAATCTTTTGGGTATTTTACGTCTTTCTACAGCTTTGGCACGTCTACGCCTGTCGGATAAGGTGGAGAAGGATGATGTGGCTGAAGCTTTGCGCTTATTGGAAATGTCTAAGGACTCGCTTAATCAACTGCATGAGCATCAAAAGGGACAGTAAGTAGAAAATTTGAAGCAAAGGCTAATATGTGACAGAATACGGTGTCAAAATGGAAGTCTAACTGGACATGAGACTTCACTAAATTGTGATTAATGTAAAAGAGATTTCAAAAAACTAAATACGTTGTGTTGCCCAGGTTCTAATTTCGAACCTTTTGCTTAACTCAAAATCGCACTAAAAAAATATGATATGTCAGCCGCCGTAGACGTGTTGTTAGTAGTACGAGCTGATATGTCTAGGGTCAAAAGTTCGCATCCTAACCAAACCAACAACAAACCTAATTCTAATTTTGGTTTTGGCTTTTGTATTGGTCAGCCCCCGGTCCATTTCCCGGAGAGAAGAGTAGCATTTTTAGCTCACCTAGGCACCTATTCACCGAATTTCAAGTAAGCCGAACCATATTTTCTGGAATATGGATATGTGTTGTCTACTTTCCGGAGAGAAGTGTAGTCGGATTTTTTTTGAATAGGTTAGCCCCTTGACCACTTCCCGAAAATTTTGTTTTTCGTAAAAACCTCAATAATCATAAAAGCAATCTGAGGAAATAGGATATTTATATGAGAGGAAATGAGGTTAGATACATATATTCACCGACAAACGAAAGTTGTTCGAATAAACCAATCAGAAAGGAAAAACAATAAAAAAAATTAAATAAATAAAAAAAAAAAAAAACAATTAAAAAAATTTAAATAAAAAACAATAAAAAAATTTAAATAAAAAAACAATAAAAAAAATTAAATAAAAAAACAGTAAAAAAATTGAAATAAAAAAAAAAAAAACAATTAAAAAAATTGAAATAAAAAAAATTAAAAAAATTTAAATAAAAAAACAATAAAAAAATTAAATAAAAAAAAAACAATTAAAAAATTTTAAATAAAAAAACAATTAAAAAAATAAAAAATAAAAACATTAAAAAAAAACATTTAAAAAAAAAAACATTAAAAAAAAAATTTGAAAAAAAATTAAAAAACAATTAAAAAAAAAAACAATTAAAAAAAAAAAACAATTAAAAAAAACAAAAACAAATAAAAAAAAAACAAATAAAAAAAATTAAAAAAAAAACAATTAAAAAAAAAATAAAAAAAAGTAAACATTTAAAAAACAGAACAAATAAGAAAAGGCAATCTTAAGAGAACGAAAAACAATTAAAAAACCTAAAAACCAATTAAAAAAATTTAAAAAAAAGTTTATGAAAAAACCACTTTTTGGAATTATCCAATTTTCCGACTTCATACGTTTTTTTTTTATTCGAAACTTTCCCAGATCCCCTCAACAACCTCTGAAATTTTCACCAAGATTGGTCCAGCCGTTTTTGAGCCTTAGCGTCACTAACAAATAAAGAAACATTCATTTTTATATATTTAGATATGTATGTATGATTAGATTATAATTTTCCCAACAACCATATTTTAACGCAATTTTCTTCTTCACCCTTTTTCACAGTATACCCAACACATCGGACAAGATATTCGCTGTTGTACGCGAATTGGCTGGTTCGAGTAATACCGTTAAAATTGCCGATGTCATTGATCGCTGCACCACCAAAGGCTTCAAACCAGATCAAGTGGATAAATGCATTGAGGATTATGAGGAATTGAATGTGTGGCAGGTCAATATGGCGCGTACAAAGATTACTTTTATGTAATACATTTACGTAAATACCTATCTACATATGGATATATGACGTAATGTTAGCACCTTTAAGTACATACAGACATATACATATAGCGCATTTTTTGTTTTCTTCACCAAACATACTTACTTCAATTTCATCTTAGTTACATACATATATACATACATGCTTTTTTGTATTCATTATTACTATAAATGTTTGTCATTTTGTGCGCAATCTCATGTTGAATGCGTACATATATTACATAGATGATTTTTGTAGTTTCACAATTATTAATAAATGTTTTTAAAATAAAAAGCATAATTTTGTAATTTATTTCGTTTTTGTTTACCTTTATTTTGAATAATATTTGTATTAAACGCATTTTGTGCTACACACACACACATTTGCGTGCACAATGCACATTCATATGGACAATAGTAATATTTAGTAATAGTAAAAGCAACAAGTTTGCACGATTAAGCGCACAAAAATATACAAATTTTATTTGTTTATGCAGCAAATTGATGTACATACATACGTACATACAACGATATGTTTACCGCAAAATGTAGATACCAAAAATTTAATATTCAACTATTTATACATACATATGTACATATATGTATGCAAGGAGATTGAAAAATATTGAACAGTAAACTGTTATTAAAATGGTAATGTGTTCATTTTTTAAGTACCTTGTGTGCTTCAAAACAAAAAACAAAAACAAAATGTTTATAAAAAATATATCTGTTGTTGTAGCCACAAAAATATTCCCCAAAGTACTTTTATTGGGGATGTTGCGGGAGTGGCAGTACTTGGCCAGATAAAAATCCGGGTCGTTCCGGTATAAAGGCCCGACTAACGCGGGAACTATTGGATTTTGGTCGCCTCTTACGACAGGCATGCATTAACGCGGATAAATTACTGAACCTCCAGCCCGCAGGGGGGAATTTACACATTGACAGTTCATTATCATTCATACGAAAACTAATGGCCAACTTTCAACCTAATCCCGAGAAGAGTATTAAGAATATTCCTTTCTTATTACTTCTCATGTTATCAAGGGGAACTTTAATTGTTAGTAGGATTGGGAAAGTCAAACCAGAAACAGAAAAAATATTATTTCCGAGATGACATAATTTTGAAATATCATGCAAAAGGCCAATAAAAACTCAGAAAGTGAAACTGTTACTCTTTCTAGGATTTTGAACAGTTATCCAGAAGTGGCATTTGCTGCTCTACAGAAATATGCGGCTACAAATACACCAGTTACAGTCCATCACATGGCTATATAGATTGCCCGCGTGAAGTTAGGGGAAGTTTTACCTTTACTTTAATACCTCTGAACGATTTTACCGGTTTCCCCAAGCGTGAAGCTCTTATAAAACAAAAAAAAAATATTTCTAATACCAATTGGTTGGAAATGAAATGAAGATTTAACCCATCTACATACATATGTACATATGTAAATGTAATGTGCGCAAAAAACTATTTGCCTCTAAGCTGCGTCTACATAAATATGTATGTATATCCTATTGCGCATGTGCAAAATTTGGTTTATAAAAATACAATCCATACCTTCTTAATTTGCCTAATTTATGCGTTAAAAGCGTTACAACATGTACAAACATACATATAATTACTATCGCTCTGCTCTCTCGCCCAGTGTATGTGTGTGCCTGTATGGACGAAGGTGAGCTTTTAAAAATGTTGCACAAGAAATTCAATGAATTCATTTAGGACACAAATTTATTTCGCTAAATTTCTATCGTTTGTCTACAAAAACAACTTAAGTTTGACTACTGCACTAATCTAATTACATAAATACATACATACAGTATGAGCCCAATTTGTGATTATTTTTTTTTTGTTGTTTGTGTAAATTTTATTTATATTATATACAATTACGCTACGCTGCAGTAAAAGTGAACTGAAAAAAGGCTGCTTAAAGTTAAAAAAAGCGTGCGAGTGCATGCGTGTGTGGCACACTCACACACACACACAATTCTATTGCACCAAAACGGACTCACGTCGACTAAACACAACGCACCAACCGACCAACCAACCAACCGAACAATAACTATCAACCAATCAATCAATCAATAAAATAATACCCGCAACTTTTCCTCTTTCCTCCTCTGTGCGCCCCTCTCCCCTCCTCCGCCTCCTTTCTACTAATAGAAAAATAGCAAACGCTCTTGCGCCGAGGTGCTAAGCAAACGCCAGGTGCGCTTAATCGATACATATTGTATGAATGCGCGTATACAAATCAAGAATCCAAATGCCATAATAAGCCACCACAGCCAAGAGTTCTCATGCGATGCCAATTCGGTGGAATTCTTCACAATCAACGTCCATTTGGCCAGCGACAGTCCAAAACCCGAGAGTGCACCATAACGTGCCGCGATTGTGTGACAAAAGCAGGTGAGCATCAAAAAACCAATCCAATTGAAGAGGAATGCCACCATAAATGCCAATATGAACATGGCATCGGTGCCGAGTAGACCATTATCGCTATTGCTTGTCAAATTCTCTGCTTCCGAGGCGTCGATGGCGATAAAAGTCAAAGCTGGTGTTGTGCCAGTTGCTGTTGTGCGGCTGTTCGGCATATTGCCGCCATCGCGTATGTGTGCCAGTAATGGGTTGGGTGGTGGCAGCGGTGGCAACATGTGTGCATTCATGAATGGTGGCGGTAATTCGCCATTCAATGATTTCTCCATTTGCACTTCCTCGTATGTGGGCAATTTAACGGTATGTTGCATTATTGGCATATCGCCAACGCCAATGCTACCGCCACCGCCAACAATACTATTCACCATCATCATATCAGCTGTTGCTGGTACAGTTGCTGTTGCAGCTGCTGTTGCTGCTGCTGCTGTTGGTGGTTGATTTGTTGGCGCATTTATTGGTGGCAATGACACTTGTAGCATGGGCGGTGGTTGCTGTTGTTGTGCTATTAAATTGTAACCCTGCGGTATGCTGTCGCCACCCATGTTATTGCTGTTGTTGCTGTTGGTCAATTCATATGGCGGTGGCGCACTAAAGTCTGCCTTAGGCGGTGCAAGATCCTCGCTTTGTGACGAGACCGGCGGCAGCGGCCGTTGGTTGTCCGACATGCTGTTGACGTTGATTTATGCAAGTACTCGTGTGCTTCGGTTGCGGGCGGGCGGGTGTTGCAGCAAGCTGTAATGGCAAATGCGTGAAAATATTTTAGTTTAGCAAAAGAAAGTGGGAAAATAATTTAAAATTTTCAAAAAACTTATTTTAAAGAAAATTTATTTTTTTGTAATTTTATTAAATTAAATTTCAATACAATTCTAATTAATTAAAATTATTTCACATCCTATAAATATTATATTATTTTGTTATACAAACTTTTATTTCAAAATCTCTTTAAATAATAAGACATTTTAAGCTTCATTTTTTAGTTTTTATTTTTATTTAATTTTATTATAATTTAATACTTTTTTGTATGCAATAAAGTTGGTAGTACATATATATATAAATAATAAATAGTTTAGTTGTAGTTTTAAAAAGTAAAAGTGCACAAATGCTTGGATTTTCAAAAATTTCAGTTTTTAAATTTTCGCTAATTTTTTTCTTTTTACATGTACATACATATGTACATATGTACATATTGTTCATATGTTCATATAAAAAAAATTTTCGATTTTTTTTTAAATAAGGCAATATTTGGCGTGCAATTGACGCGCACGTACATATGTTTTTTTTTCGGATGAGATATTTTTTAACTTAACATACATACATACATATTTTAAGGTTATTTATTTTTCAGCAAATTTTTTTTCTTTTTGTCTTTTCGGCGTTTAAAATACATAAAGCTCCTTCTTTTCATTATATAATAATATGTAAGTGCACATTTCATAATTACGAGCAAATTGTTTTTAGTTATATTAACATAAGTGGATATGTATATAGATTTTTAATAAATATTCAAAACAACTTTAAACAAAAAATAAAATAAAAATGATTAAATTAAAAAATATTAATTAATTAAATATTACAAGAACATTTAAAGTTTGATATTGAACATGGTTGCTTTTAAATATGAAAGGTTGAAAATTGGCAGAAAAATTTTTCAGAAAAACTTTTTTTCAAAAATCTATTTTTGGCTTTATCAAATTAAACTGCCTTTTTCAAAAAAAAAATGCATATGTAGGTTTTGAAATTCGCCTTAAAGCTGTATTGTTATATGAAAAGCATGCTTCTGTTGTTGTTGGTGTAAATTATTGTGGAAAAGGTTTAAGGGGTTAAGGTTTATTTGAACAATTTATTTTTAATAAAAAATAAAATGTTTATTTTTGTTGGTCGACAGAAAAAATTATATATTTTATTCAAACTGTGGACAGTAAATAATAATACATTTACATATGTTCATTGGAAAAAAATGTCAGAAACTTTCCGAGGAAAATATGCATAACTCCGCAATTGTGTCGTAGAATTGATATGATTTTGAAAAAAAAATCTAAAATTTTCTGTGGAAGATATTCTTAGCTCCATGGCTCCATTATGACATCAACGGAAGTAAAAAAAAAATTTAGTAATTTTATAAGATTATTTGAGAATTTTAGTGCAGGAAACGAATAAAAAATCGTGAAAAAGGCTTTTTTGTCGATTTTTTTAATCCCAAATTTGGTAAATTTTGCTTAATTTTTTTTTTCAAATAGTTGAGATTAATTGTATAATTCATGACATATTCATACAACTTTTGCTCTTGTCAAATTACATTCAACTAAACTACTAATTGTAGATACTTGACATTGGAGGGTGTCTTCAGCGTATGATGTCCGTTATGGAAGGACTTTCTGGGTTATAAACCTGACACCAAACCATTCGAAAAAATCATATTTATGTTTCGATCTGCCTGCTATTTTCACACCAAGAAGTGGAAAAAATTTGGCTTTTGGTTTGATTGCTCTGAGATTTGACGCTTAGCCTAGGGGAATGTCTGGAAAACTTTTTCTTCTAAAAGTGGGCAGGTGTTGGAAAATACTCTATACTTTTTTTTTCATATTTCAAATTCTTTTTGAGTTTACTTTCTTTTATACATTCAAAATTTTGGAATGATAAATACTTTTTCTGCTTTTTTTTCGATGTTTCGCATAAGAATTGCATTTTTGTTATTTTATTAAAAAATTTTTTTTTTTTGTTTCCAAAACTTTTTTTGCTTCCAAAACATTTTTTTCTTCCAAAACAATAAAACTAGAAAAACAGATAGCATAAGCTGAAGATTGCATTATTGGTTTCAATTTTTCTTTGTTTCGTTCAGTTGCTATTACAACATTTTCGAAGGATTAGTTGATGGCGAATACTTTTTTTGATCGCTGTAAATATTTCATACCTTAGAATAATGAATATTTATTTATATCAAATTGAATTAAAATTTTTAAATATATGTATGTATGTATATAAGCATATATTGCATACAACATATAAGGAACCAATCAATTTGGAACATAGATAGAGCCAAACATAAGATTCCATGCAGACCAAGTCACAGGTAAAAAGTCGTCAGTATCTAAATTAGGGTGAGCACACCTTAAAAGCATACTTGGGCGTGCCTTCCCCACCTCGGGTATGCTTATTCAATCTTCTTCTTCTCATAACTAATTTTCTATAGTGCAATGGGTTGATAAAGTTTTGTAAAGTCGAAAAAACAGTAAATACTAAGCGACTTGTAACTCCAAATACGACCAAGAAAAATTATTTTAGCTGCATTTGGTATGCACAAAAGAATTTTAATGAAAAAAGTGCACTCCGGCATATTCTTTTTTAATCCCAGTGCCTCATTTTCGAATACAAAACAATAAAAGTGTTATTTTAAGGCGAATTTAAAGTGATTTTCGAAAACTTTAAATTATCGCATTACATTTTTGGGCATTACATTTTTACAAAACATTACATTTTCTAACATTAATTACAAAAATTAATAGTTTTTAAATCAAATTAAATTAAAATTACAAACTAAACAGTTTTCAAACAACAACTCAGGTAGTAAACGTTCAAGGTTTTTTCGTTAAAGTAAAACCAACAAACAAATAGTATTTAAATAAAATTAATAAAAAGTTTGTGTTACAGAGTAGTAAATGGCATTAAAGGGTGCAATACGTTTGTTGCATGTCTTTTTTTTTTTTTGTGTAGAATTTCTTTGTCTTTTCTGTGCTTCACATCTTCATTACTCAAAGCTTAATATTATTTCTTTCTTTATGTATGTACGTTCGCTTAATAATCCTAGTAGCCGTTAGCGTTTAGCGCCAACATATGTAAATCATTTTAGCTGCCAATTTTCAAATAGCTGCGCCAATACGGACTTAACACTCGCACACAAATCCTCAATGAACGCTCTTCTATCTAATGCGAGTACATCCGATCCGCTTGTATATTGGTGCGCATGTGCGCCCAAACTAACGCTTAAAAGCCGCTGCCAGCGGCAGTGTTTTATAATGATGTTCACCAAATGGGCGTCGCACCGGCAAACGCGTCATGCCGTCCACCTGATCGAGACCTTCGTTGTCGTGTGCCGCTTCAGCGCTATCATTCAGCTTTTGACGCTCCTTGTCACAGCGCACATACCACATCAGACAGAAGATGAGCACAGCGAGTAGTGCTAGTGTTGCACCACTGGCAATGCTGGCCGTTTCGAGCATAGCACGTTGTCGTGTTGGCAAATATGAGCCATCAATTTCTTTGTACTCACAGCGGGGACCCATAAACCCAGTGGCACACTCACAATTGTACAATATTTCATTATGTATCTCCACCGTGAAGCAGGTGGCTTCATTCAGGCAATACCAAGCGGCATAGGTGGGTGGACAGCTGTAGATGGGGAATGTTATGTTGGGGCGCTCGGTGGTCACAGCGGCCGCTTCTGAAGGTGATGCGGTGGGTAAAGCTGGTGGTGGTGGCGGCGGTTTTTGTATGGCACGACTGGAGCAGGCGGAGGCGTAGGGTGCCAGCACGATGAGCGCTAGAAAAATGACCACTAAGCGTTCCACATCCGTTGGATGCATGGCTGCTGTGGCTCGTTGTCGTTGCCGTCCGGGCATTTTTTCAACATTAAATGCGCCAGTTGTAACTACGTGTAGTGTGTACGTGTATGTGTGTCTTTGTGTGAGTGATTTTTTTTGTTTGTTCGCTCTCAGTTTGTTGCAAGCGTTGAGCACATTTCAGCGTTGGTTTTTAGCTTTTTTGGTTTTGTAGATTTTCCTAGTCGGCGTCGGCTGAAAATTAACGCAATGCCATTAATTAGCAACATAAATAAAACAAACAGAAAAGGAAATTATAGCAAAAGCAAGCCGACTTTATTCCAAATAAAAATTAATTACAAATTAATTAATTAAATTATTAAGATAATACAAAAATAATAATAAAAAAATGGTATAAGATATTTTTAATGCAGCAAAGCGATTAAAGTGAATTATTTGTGCGTAAGTGTGTTCGTAAAAGGCAAAAAAAAATAGAGCAGGATTTGTCATGGATGCACAACACTAACCATCTCTTCGTATACCGTTCAAAACAAACTTATCTAAACCCCTTTCCCTATGGCCCGATGACGTCGAAACATCTCTTTTTTGAACCTACCGTTAGATGACCTCTATGGCTTAGAGTGATCTTGCCTGCTTCTAAGTGGGGATAGTGAACAGCTACAACAATAAAAAAAGTAATATTGCGAGAGAGAGAGAGAACTTGTTCACACTTTGGCTGTGGCTTTTTTGAAAGATAACACATAGATATATTACATGGGCGGAAAAGTCTGGGTCCTAACATATAGATGACGCAATAAAATCTTCCACTGGTGGAGGAGGAAGATTCGATGTGTTGAAAATAAACAAAAGCGTGAAGAGAACACCACCCTGGGGAATTACTTGTTTCATATTACGCAGCCTGGATGTTTGACCTCGAAACTCTACCGGAGACTGTCGACCACTCAGGTAGCCCATAGTTCATCTCCTCAACCCCGGCGGTATTGAGGAATCCTTAATTTCCGTTAGTAGCACTGAATGGTTGACGGTATCAAAGTTCTTTGATCGATCATATGCTTCTAGTACGGTTCGCGCATAAGGCCGGTTCTAGTTAAGGCCATAAACTATCTGGGTGTTTATGGCGTATTAAGTGCGCTTGGTGGGGCTGGGTACTTTTCGGAATCCATGCTGATGTGCTCCTAGACGCACATGGTGTGTGAAGGACAGCAGCAAGGCTTCAATTGTCAACGCTTTAGATCCAACTTCTCTTCTGGAGCTACCAAGCTCTGGTCTAAAGTCAAATCGGATCTCGTCAGACCCGAAGAAGTGCGCGTACTATCTGCACGGCAACCCTCTTTAGAAAATATTAAACCACAACCGACGTGCCATCAGCGGAAACTGTCAAACACTAGAGTGGCGATTGATTTCTAAAGGGATGATGTTCAGCGGCTCACCGGGGAGGGGAAAGCATCCAGATCCATCGGAACCGGCGGAATAAGAATGTTGATGCTAAATTATCTCGAACTCGCTGGAACAGACTCTCACTTTCTTTGACACTCATTTTCTTTGACGCTCATTTTCTTTGACGCTCACTGTTGATCAATAACTATATGTCAACAAAAACCAAAAAAAAGGTTTATCTTTTGGCTCTCAGCGTTTATTGGCTATACGCAGACCTCAAAACGTGCCAACCCGGTAGGAAATTTCGTTCGAATGACAATGTTATCTCTGAAACTGCAGCCTATTGTAAGACAAAAGATGGAAAGTAGTTCTACAAAAGTGATATTAATATGTTAGAATGGCGCTGAATTCATTGTGTGGCTCTTGATTGAGAATACATTCGACGAATAATCCCAATTTTGAACAAAAACAAGGCGCTTTCCTTACAATTCCTTGTTAGTCGCGGGACTTTTCAGCCCATGTATTTATAAAATAAGAAAGTGAAATGTAATTGAAACTCCATTACTGAGGCTCATCGGTAACAATGATTTTTCTACAATATAACGCCTTCTTCTTCTTCTCCTCGTAAATTTTAACTACATTTTCTAAAAAAAAACTTGCTCGCGCTTTAGGAATATCAACATTGAAATAAAATAAAAAAGTATATAAAAAATTTTTTGAAAATCTTTTTTCACACCACAACGTAGTTCAGCGTGTACTACCATGTGGAGCGTCCGGGGGAGCTTTGACCCAACTAAAATCAAAAATTGCAAAAATTCATTTTTTCCATCGCCCTTCGGCAATGAATGTTAGCCTCTCGAATGTATTTCTGGCATGAAATAAAAGCTGCTAATCCAAATCATTTTGCCACATGGAGGCGGCTTGAGTGCCGGCGGAACAGCTCGGCCGAAAATCGCTTCGACGGTTCAAAATTTTCTTTCATAAATATCAACTAATCCTATCGTCAATATAAAAATTTTAAATCCTTTTTTAATCGGCAACTCGAGAACTAAGCGAGATATATGGCTCTCCTCTTTCTAATGCAAAATTATTAATATTAACTTGTAAAAATTATTTTCTTTTAGTTTTCCTTACTTAATTGTTAATCGTAATTTTTAATTAATTTTAAACTCTTTTAAAAATTTCACCAAAATTTTTTATACCATTTTTTCAACATTTTTCTCGCCAATTTTTTCTTATTCTATAATTATATATATTTTTTTTAACTAAATATTTTTTATATTTTTTTTTTTTACAATTTTTATTTAACATTCATATAATTTTTTTCTTATTATTAATTTAAAATTGTAATATTATTAGTTGAAAGTACATTGGAATCGCTGCTAAATCGCTGGTTATTGGTCATACCAATGCCTAAAGATAAGCCCTAAAAATAAGGCTATCGTACTAGAGCGAGTGCGTGCGTTTGCTTGAACTGTTAAAGGCATAAGCGCTTATAAGGGATAGAGAGAGAGAGGGCAAGTGAGCGAGCGTGCGAGCGTGCGACCTAAAGCGAAAAAATTAATTGATTAATTAGTTGAGTTAGTTAATTTCACAATTTATTGACAGAATGCCAAAACGTATATGCCTCATATATGTATATGTACAAACACATTTATTAACACGTGAATATACATACATATATAAGAGTAATTAAAATAATAAAAAGACACGTTCACTATATTTAATTACCTGTTTCTTCACTTATCACAATTACTTTTACATTACAAACTCCAAGCGATTTTTTCCATAGAAAATTAACAATTCGAAACCAACAGATGTCTGGTTACTTCACTGTCGTAACACTTTTAGAAATCACTGTATGTAATAAGCAACTTCTGTAGTTTCACTTATATTTTCTTTCTTTTATTTATTTTTTGTTTTTTTTTCTTTTACTTATTTTTTTTTTTATTTTTTCTTTGTTTATTTATTTTACTTATTTTTCTTTTATTTATTTATTTTTATTTTTTTCTAATAAATTTTTTTATTTATTTATTTTTCCTTCTATTTGTTTTTTCTTCTATTTATTTTTTTCTTCTATTTATTTATTTTTTCATCTATTTATTTGTTCTTCTATTTATTATTTTTGTTTCTACTATTTCTTTTTTCTTATATTAATTTTTTTTTCTTCTATTTATTTTATTAACTTTCGTTTTTTCTTTTTTTAACACAACAACAACAACTTTTGAACTTTTAAAACACTCTCACGACTTTTTTCCAGCATGTAAGTTTTATTTTTTTATTTTGATTTTTGGACCGTTAAATGCACTGCTGACTGCACTGATTTGTCTGTGATTTTTATTTAACGACAAATAAAAATGAATAGACAGACAGATAGTCAGCCGGCGTTGGAAGTAAAAAATCTCAACGCCTACACAACAATCCAAAATTACGCGCTGCGAGCGTCCCGATATGGTTGAGATGAGCGCGTCTAGTCACAAGTCTAAATATTCATACAATTACTAAATGCTTCAATTCCACAAAAGTCTCTGCGTCTAACTATGTATTTTAGATGAGTATGGATAGGTTTGTATGTATGTATATATACTAATGTGAAAGATGTTCTGTCTTTAGTGCTTGATTAACTTCTCAAAACGATGATGTAATTTCCTTTAGACACAAGCAGTTGTCTGTTCTACAGTTGGAACGGGAAAGTTCAACTGTGAGATGCAACTCAAAGTGTTTACCACACCCTCAAATTTGAATATGTGAATTTTTCATATTTGAAGCTCTGAGCATCTCCGAATAGTTAAAGGTAGGCCATTACATCCAAAAAATTTACTATCTGGTGCGCTCTTTGGTTCGGAGCTCTGATTGGGCCGTACTTCTTCAAAGCGAACGAGCGAACATGGCGAGAGAAACTTCCGGCCGCTTAATCTCTCATCTTGGTAATGTTAATTGGCCTATAATTTGACCGCATGCATTGGCATTAGACAGCGACAGTGAAGCAGGTATTACTCAACGGCGCTGGGATGAGTTGGACCACTGCCAACAAATTTCCATATAGAAAACCATTGGATCGATTGCTGCATTACATAAAAGGAGCGTTAAAGACCACTCCAACGGCGACAATTGAAATGTGAGTTGACCTAACTCCAATCGTCATCGCAGTGAAAAGCGAATTCCGTCGTGTGATTGAAACGTATGTGAATTATCCACTAGAACCTTCGGCCGCAGCTCGATGTGCGAACGATGGAGTACAAAATAAGTCACATACCTCATACGTGTATATACGCCTCATCTGGAAAAGAAGATTTCAGGTTAAGATTTAGGAGTGCGAATGGCGCAGGAACATGCGATCCGCCAGTGGCTTATGGAGTGAGCGCTGTACATGGCAACGCTTCAAGCTTCTAGAGTGGTGCATTATTTTCCAAGCGGAAGCCAAGGGGCTCCAGCCGGCTAGTGCAACCTAACCTTATCAAATATTTAATTTTTTTTATTTCATTTTATTTAATTTGTATTATTTAATTTTAATTTATTAATTTTTGTGATTTTAATTTTTTTTTTATATTTCAATTTTTAAATTTGTAATAAAATTTTTTTGAATGTTATTTAACTTTTTTTTATTTTATTTCAATTATTTTTTTTTTAATTTTGATTTTTTTTAAATATTATTTTAATGTTTTTTATTTTATTTTAAATGCTTTTATTTTCTATTTAATTTTACATTATTTTAAAAAGTAAAAATTATATAATTTTTAATTTTTTTATTTTTTATANGTTTTTATTTTTTTTCTTTTGTTTTATTCTATTTTATTTTGTATTTGTTTTTATTCTATTTTATTTTGTATTTGTTTTTATTCTATTTTATATTTTATTTTTTTAATTTTATTCATTTTTTTCTTTTTTTTTTTTGTTTTATTTTTTATGTTATATTTTATTTTATTTTTTCATTCTATATTTTATTCTATTTCATTTTATATTTTATTCTATTTTATTTTAAATCTTATTTCTGTTTACTAATTTTATTTTTAATTTTTTATTTTATTTTTGTTTTATTTTTTATTTTATATTTTATTTTATTTTTCATTTTATATTTATTCTATTTTATTTTAAATCTTATTTCTGTTTAGTAATTTTATTTTTATTTGTATTTTATTTATAGTTTGTTTTATTTTATTCCTTATTTGACTTATTTTTTTTTTATTATAATGCCTTCTATTTTATTTTATTTTAATGTTATTTTCTTCTTTATGTTTTATTTAATTTAAACTTACTCAATTTCTTATTTTTTTACCTTATTTTATTAATTTTCTTATTTCATCCTTTGATTTTATTTTATTTATTTTTTTTTTTTTGCTGATAAGCAAAGTGAAATATATCACGCAGATCCTGATTTAAATCTCAAATAGAAATTTTTTGTAAGAATCGGCGACCTTGAGGCGTAACCTGTTAAGTAGGAGGCGCGCATGTAGTACAGATGTGGCGCGCGATACGCGTGCTATGAAAGAAAGTACTTGAAGTTTTTATATGATAACTTATCAAAATTATCAAAGTGCATATGTACATTCATAGAAATATGTGAGTGTGTATATAAAACTCACTTTTGGCTCGTATTTCCAGCGCGCTGTCGCCAAATTTAAATAAATATTTTCATATCCATATAATTTTACGTTTCTCAATGTGTGAAAAACATGTGTATTTGCTTAGGTATCTGTGTATGTGCGTTCTTTGCATCTGTTTTGTTCTGTATAAGAGCTGTTTTATTTGATAATATGAACATTTGCATTTGTAAACAACATACATACATACTACGAGTACGTAGAACCATGTACACACAACTGATTATTTGCCAAATTAAATACTTTATTTTACGGTTATGATATTGAAATATGTAAATAATCTACATCATTTTCAGCGATTATGAATATGAGTCAGCAAAAATATATTTTAAATTTGCGCAAAGCTTGTGAAATAAGATGTCCACTAAAAAATATGAGTATCTATCACACTTTTGAACAACAACGATGCGTACTTAAAAAATATTGAAACTTGTTGAATGCTTGGTAATTGGGTACTCAGCAAAAAGAAGTGTTAATTAGTTTCTAAATTTTCGCTTATCTGTAAGAAACACTCATGGAATTGATTGTTAAACAAATATTTGATTGCCTCTTTTGCACACGCCTATTTACATATCTCTATAGCGAAGACATGATTTCAACTATTTGGTTAAACACAGTCAAAAGACAAAAACAAAAATAAAAAGTTAGTTGAAAATTCCAATGAGAATATACTTTGATCTATCATATATTTGGTTATTTTATGCTAAACTCCGAGATGGCACACATAAGCAAAACTACATTTTAATTAGGGCGCACGAGGAAGTCATACATTTTATTTTTATTTACTTGTATGTACATATATATATATATATATAAGTGGCGCTTTGTAACCGCTGAAGTGATTATCGGCTGAGCTCTTCCTCGAATTTGTGGTTTTGCGTCTTGATGTTCTTTCAACAGGGAGCCTACAACCTCCAAGAGGGACCTACAGTTTATACTAAGCTGCCTCCGAATGGCTGATGGTTTTTTTCAAGGAGCTTTGTTTTATGTCCGAAATATACTCGGATGGGTTGACATTCCCTGCCGAGGAGCGAGCACAATTAGTACATTTAGCTTAATCGTTTATTTATTTATTATTTCATTTTCTGTATTTTTTTGGTTATTATTTAACTCCTTTTTATTGTTGCTTCTATTTTTCTTAATTTTATATTACTTAATTTGTTTATTTTATTTTACTTAATTTTATTTAGTTTAATACAAACTTATTTAATTTTTTTTAAATTTAATTGAATTTTCAAATCTTTTAATTAGTTTAATTTTTCAATCTATTTTAATTTTTAATTTTTTTATCTCATATTTTTTTTTATTTTTTTTTTTTGCCTTACATTTTTTTATTTTGTATGTTTTTATTTTTTATTTGCTTTTTTTTTATTTTTTTTTTATTTTTTATTTGTTTTTTCTTATTTTTTTGTATTTTTTTAATTTTTTTGTATTTTCTTTATTATTTTTTTTGTATTTTTTTTATTTTTTTTATATTTTTTTTATTATTTTTTTTTGTATTTTCTTTATTTTTTTTGTATTTTTTTATTTTTTTTTTTAATTTTTTTAATTTTTTTTATCTTTTTTTATTTTTTTTATCTTTTTTTATTTTTTTTATTTTTTTTTGTNATTTTATTTAATTTATTTTTCACTCTGTTTTTAATTGATTTTATTTTATTTTAATTCTGTTTATTTTATTTATTTTTTATTTTTTTTATTGTATTTTTTTCTTTTTATTTTTTTATATTTTACATTTTTATATTATTGCTTTTATTTTTTCATAACTTTTTTTAATTCATTATTTTTATTATTTCTTCTTATTATTTTTCTCTTTTATTTCTTAATTTGTATTTCTTTTATTTTATTATTTCTTTTATTTATAAAACAGTATTTTTTTATTTTATTTAGTTTGATTTCATTTCACTGGATTTGGACTTAATAGACATTTTCGCTAAAAGAAAAAACTTAACTAGATAATAAATTTAATATTACAGAAGATATACATAACCGAACCTAGAATATGACTAGAAATGTTTAAAATTTGTTTACTTCACAAAACAATAAATTCAAACTGAAAAAATAGATGACCTCTAGAGTACAGAATATTGATAAGAACTACACGGGCAAGTTCAAGAAAAGAGGTTAAGTTGCCGTTCAGAAAATTTTTGGATTATATATAATAATAATTGAAAGCTTATTTTAAATAAAAAATAAAACGCTATATGACTAATCAAAAAGTTAAAAAAAAAATATCACCGGCAATTTTAATCAGAGGTTGCATAATTTGTATAAAGACTTTGGTCTTAAGGCTTATAATGTTCAGTTAACAGAAGAACTCAAGCCGGCTGATCGTCGAAAACGTCGAGTCTTTGGCCGATTGGACCCTTGAAATACATTAAAATGATACGGAATTTCATCGAAAAATCATTTTGATTGATGAGACCCATTTCCACCTCAATGGTTACGTCCATAACCAAAACTATCGCATCTGGGTATCGGAAAACCCAAGATTTTTTGTTGAAAACCCTCTCCAGCTTCAACGTGTAACTAGTCGGCGCGGTTTATGCTCCGACGAAGTCATTGAACCTTACTTTTTCGAACAGTTACGATGAATCGAGTGCTGAATAACACCTCTTATTGGAAACCCAATACTTCGGACCAATATTAATACAATTTAATTTACATGAAAGGTATAAAAGCAGATTTATTTTCATTTATTTAGTCGTGTTTGCGGCTGATATTAAAAAAATTGTGCATAAAGTCATTATGGAATCGTTAGAGAGTACATTTGGCACCACATTGCCATGAATTTCAGAGCAATTGCTTTAAGCAATTAATTTTCGATAACTCACGTGTACCGTTTAAAAACGAAATTTAATCACAAAAAAGCATTTACGAGTTCATTACTTTCTCCATACGTAACTATATACATACATACATACGAGTACATAACCTACATGGAACTAATAAGTATGACCACGTCATTCAAGTAGAATTAATATAATTTTCAAAAAAAAAATATATATATTATATTTCTATGCCCTTGGCAATGCATTAAGTTAATAAATGTATATTTATATATGTGAATATATGGCAAGTAAGTGTAAAAGGCAAGAACGTGGGTGTTGCATATAGAAACCTGCACACTTGCATAGAGGCCAATAATTAAGTATAATTTATTTGTTAAAAAAAAAAGATTTACAAATACTGTACACACTGAGCTTTTAATAATTTATACGAAGGCAACAAAGTTTGTATATTGATTTTGTTTCATTGCAAAGTCTATCGATTATTTAGTGAGAAGAATTTCATATCTTCCTCAACCCGTTCATTTAGCCATTATGTCCATATCTAAAAAGGCAAAGTTAATAATTAAACGACATGGCTTATATACATATCTGTGTATGTATGAGTATTTGTATTCAGCCTACAAATGTACATGTATAATATATCTACTATATTTGTGTTTACTTTCGAGGCTGAAAACTCAACAAAACCAATATTAGTCGAGTTCTTTGACTTGATGGCTATGCCACAAATGTAAGTATGTGCCTACATAGGTATGTACTCGTACTTAATAAATACACATTGGTAGCTGTATTAAGTACACATAGAATTAAGTACACGGAAAATAAAACAACAATGTTCATTAAATTTAATTCTTGCGCAAAGCAAAATGTCTATTGGCATAGTAAATACTTTGCCACTTTAGCGTGGGTTTTGTCAATAGGGGTACGTACATATGTGTGTATGCCACAATTACAATAAAACTGGTTAAACCTACATACATATGGCAAAACACTAATCAGCGGTGCGCTTAAATATATATGAATTAAAGTGAAAATATAATATATATATAATATATATATATATGTGATGATGTATATGTTGTCCATACCTACATACTTATGTGCATATGCATGCACGTACATATACAAGTATATGTATGTATATTTATGAAAGCAATCGCAAAACAGTTGCTGATAAAAACCAATTCGATAAGGCCTGATCTAACTTAATCTGATGTGTAAATAATACACTAATATACTGCTAAATTTTTTTATATGTACATACATAAAGTCGAGTATGTACATATATATATATATCTTGGCATGTGGTATGTTTAGTGCGAGTTTCAAATTTTATGAAGGGCTTTCCAATAAGAGGTGTTAAGCTCGATGGTTTTGTTGCTTATGCGGCACATGGCGCCGTCCTGTTGGAAATAAACATTATCCAATTCAATACAATTGAATTCCGGCAATAAAATCATCTCGCCATAGCGCAATCCATACATTTTTCGAGCCCCAGATGCGAAAGTTTTGATTGTTGATGTAGTCTTCGAGGTGAAAATAGGTCTCACGAGTCAAGGCGACTTTTCGATAAAATTTTTATAGTGAATGTTAATAATTTCAACGTGTTGTTGAAGTAAAGTGCTCTCCCGACGAACGAAAATCAGACTCTACAAGTCCGTCATCGTTGCCGTCCTGCTATATAGTGCAGAAGCATGGACGTTGACAGCATGTGATGAGACGGCGTTATGAGTTTTCTAGAGAAAGACTTTGCCTAAGATTTATGGTCCTTTGCGCATTGGCAACGGCGAATACCGCATACGATGGAACGATGAGCTGTACGAGTTATACGGTGACATTGATATAGTTCAGCGAATCAAGAAGCAGCGGCTACTCCAGCTTCGAAAATTTTCGATGCAGTACCCGCCGGTGGAAGCAGAGGAAGGGAAAGACCTCCACTCCGTTTGAAAGATCAGGTAGAGAAGTATCTGGCTGTACTTGGTATTACCAATTGGCGCCACACAGCAAAAAGCAGAAACGAATGGCGCATTGTTGTAAATCGGCTATAATCGCATACGTGCTGTGTCCACCCCAGTAAAGTTAGTGTTGAAGCCTGTATCGTACCATTTTTATTATTTATTTATTACTGACGTAGATTTTACTTGTCAAATGTAAAAAAATTACAAATTCAAGAGTGACATCTACCGGAATAACAGGATAAACAAAATAACGCCTCTTATTGGAAAATCCTTTAGCACTTCTGCAATAAATTATTATTATCAATTATGTAACTAAAAAACAAATTCAAATTTCAAAATAATTTTGAGAAATTGTATAATTATAAAAAAAAAAGAAAAATAAATATCTAATTGAAAAATGTACATATGCATGCTTCAATCCTTCGATTTTTGTTTTACTTATGGCACTTTTCATAAATAGAAGAACATATTAATATATATAAATATATATATATACTACCATTATCCAAAAAAATCGACTTTCGGAGACTTCGAGTTATATATTTTTTTCTTTTGGTTTTCTTTTGTGAATATCCAGTATCAAGGTAAGGCCACTATAGAGTTTAAAATATAGACAAAATTTTAAAAATTTATTGTATTTATTATTATTTGGAAGTACGTACGGATTTATTTTTAAACAAATTTTTGTGAAAGCAGCACACTTTTTTTTTTTTAAATATTGATTTTTGACTAAAAATAAGTACACAGTTCAGCTATTTATACCTATTTTTTCACTTTAAAAACATTTGCATATCATTTCTAACGCTACTACCAGCCGATTAAGTTCGAGTTAGAGAAAAGTCGAGTTTAGAGAAGTTCGACTGTATTTCAATCATGATTCATGGTTAGTTGGCCATTATAAATAATTATGTGAAATAATAAACATAACTGCGTGTATGAAAATAAATAACTACTTTATACCGCTGTTTTCCCACAAATATGTACGTATGTATCATACATAAGATGATGAAATAAACAAGTTCGCGGTAAAATCACACTCTAATCGAATAAACACTTTAAACTTGATACATTATGAAAACAGCAGTTCTAATAAAAATAATTCTGAAATTGTTATTTTTTTTTTCTATACATATGCAGATATGTATGTATTTACAATCAATTCAAACGAATATATGTATGTAGGTATATGCGTGCATACATGTGTTTTTGCGCTTAGTTTATTTAAATATATTTTTATACAATATACTTAAAATATTAGCAACCAGCAGCTGCGTACCTGAAAAACATTCTTTCCATTTCTTGAGACAGAAGAGGATTATCCATAATAATGTAATAAATACGCAAAATTATGAAACATACGACTTTTGCCAGTTGAGGGGCACGTGTTAAAAAATAAGAACCGATAAAACCGAAGAAGCGATGATTGGCTGGTTCTCTAGGCTGAATTTTCATTGCTTTATGAATTCAAAATCTATATTTCCATACATAAATACATCTGTTTATATTTAAAACATGCTTTCAATATAAATATAAATAAAAATAGAAAAAAAATTGTAGAGATAATAATTTCGAGCTAAATATGATGTCTAATATTGCAAATTTTGAAAAATATTTTAATACTGTTGCAAAGGAAAGTAATAAAATATATACATATGCATATGTAGTGAGTTCGTACGGTAGCAGTAATTGACGTTTATTAAATTTCTATTTTTTTCACACAAATTCAGCCTTTACGGGTATTTGTACTTCAAATGCTAATTTTTATGTCAATTTACTGCATGTGCCTACGTAAGTACGTAAGTGAAGACGTCAATATGTCCCCCAGTCAGTTTGTAGGTACATATGTACTTCATAAATATATACCCATGTATTTACGTAAAGAGTATACGAGTAAGTATTAAGTTTTTTTTTTTTCAAATAACTTTTTGTAGAAATAACTATTTCCAATTCACATTTATTTAGCGAATAAGTGTAAAAATTTTGGTGATAAAGATCTTTAAGGTTGACCAATCGCAGAAAAGCTTTTAGGTGATTATGTGCAACATATGTAAGTATGTATATTCCAACCTTAAAAACATTAAAATATTAAAAATTTCAAAAAAATATTAAAAAGTCACTACATTGAAATTTTTTTAAAACGGAACCGGATCAACAAATACATATATAAGTATGTATGCTTGTAAGTATAAGTATTCTCCGTTTCGCTCCCCACAAGGCAGTTCCTACCAATGAACGATGCAGTGAATAAAAACTACAAATCAAGGAGTGTAATAATGATTCATTCACAACAAAGTACCTCACACAAGGATATTTCTATTTTTATCAACCATATAAATACAAAAATATATATGTAGAGGTACAAACATTGTATTCAAGCAAGCACTTAGAAAGCTTGCATTGATAAATCAATTAACTTCACTGCAACCCACTGGCGCGTTTTTAATTGATCCAAAGTCAGCTCGGAATTATGGTATTACACACACGCATACACACACACATACACAAGCTGAGATTCAATAATTTATCATATTTACTTTCAGTTGACCCTTTTCACATACAATTTTCATAATTTTTATTACAATTTTCATCTACGCCTCTAACTAAAATCAGCAGTTTACGTAAGAATTCGTAATCTCAATCTCAATCACAATCACTTAATAACCATAATATTTAAGTTAAGCCAGCGAATGTAAGCTTAGCTCCAACCCATTATTTATTTTTATTTCTCTTATTTTTCCACTTTGGCTACGTTGGCCATTTTCTCCCCATCGATCAATTAGATTTCTAATACGAATTTTCATGTAATTTTATTTACCTTTAAAACGTTTATTTTTTCCCCAATTTCTTGCACAATTTATTATTGAAGCACTTTTATTATTTCTTTTCACTATTCTTATTGCATTTAATTCCTCTTAAAATGTTTTAACTTTCCAAAATTCTATGAATTTTATTATTGAACAAAAACAATTGCCAATCAAGTTTTTTCCGTTCTTCTTTCGTTGCCAATCATCAATGAATTAAAAAAATCTGGTTTTCGTCTTGCCATATTTTTGTTTGGTTGTCAACAAGTAAAGAAAAGAAACGTCAACAATTCATGCTTCAAACCTTTGCTGGTTTGTGACTGGAAAAGTGACAGTGGAGCAAAATGCAATTTTTTAAATTATTCTGAAAGATAATCCAGCTCTTTTCTTTTATATAACATCCTAGTCGCTATTTCCATTTAAAAGGAATATTAAGAGATGGACAACCCAAGGAGATTATTTTCATAAGAAATATTATATATTCTATGGCTTTGAAGATAGGATCACTTTTCAAATATATATATTTAGATATATGCTTACCGTTATATGAATAGTGAACTTTAAAACAGACAATTTCCCATGGACTCCTTTTCTGAATTTTAAGTATATATTCTTTGGCTTAGATCTAACGTAAACTTATATTTAAAACTCTTTATTTATATACATTCATACCGAGTGTCAATAGTTGTATTTTTAAATGACTTTTGGAATTTTGCGAAGAAATCTAAATAGTAGTGTTATACCTTTGGAGAGCAGGATGTTTCAAGCTATTCAACGTTTTTTGTTTATTATTAAACAATATTCCAAAGGTTTTATAGATATATGTATAATAGAACCGCCGCTTTAACTGAAAACCTTCAATATTTCTGAAGTATCGTACAAAATTTTATCACTATTTGGAATTCAGCTTCCTTTCCAAACTGAGGACCCACCACCTGTAAAAACCCTAAAACCCCAATCTACTCAAATCCAACAATAGAAATGCATAACTTTTAAAATAAAAATAATTTTATTTTTATTGCGTACTCGTGAATCCATATCAATTTGATTAAATTCTTAAACAAATACACAAACACATCACTTTTATCATCTTCACTACCTTCAAGTACTATAACCTCATTGGTGTTTACATTCAGCTTATTTGTCCTTGCTGTCTCCCTTACCACCACGTATTCTACCGGTACGACGGGCAGCAATAAGACCGACCTTACGACCAGCAGATGTACCACGCTTAACAGTCGAAGCTTTACCAATATGTTGATGGTTACCACCACCGTGAGGATGCTCCACAGGGTTCATAGCAACACCACGTACCTTAGGCCAGCTGTTACGTTTCACCTTGTATTTGTGGTAAGCACGGCCAGCCTTCAAGATAGGCTTGTCGATACGACCACCACCGGCAACAATACCAACCATAGCACGATTGGCAGAGGGTACAACTTTCTTGGCACCAGATGGCAACTTAACTCGAGTCTTCTTGGTGTCAGGGTTGTGGGCAATTACGGTGGCGTAGTTACCAGATGTACGTGCCAAACGGCCACGATCACCAGTCTTCTCCTCCAAATTGCAAATGATGGTACCTTCAGGCATCACGGACAATGGCATTACATTGCCAATTTGCAAAGTAGCTTTACGGCCACAATATACGAATTGACCAGTGTGCATACCCTCAGGGGCGATGAACAATTCCTTGCGGATCTTGTAGCGGTAGGGGTCACGGAAGTGCACGACAGATAATGGTGCACCACGGCCGGGATCGTGGATGATCTCCTATAAAATCACAAAATAAAAAGTATTTATAAGTAAATGTTGTAATATTACAAAAAAAAAGAAAAATTTACCTTAACAACACCACGAATGTATCCATTACGTTCGGAGAAGTCGAGAGGTCTCAATTTAGCGGCTCCCTTACGCCTCTTAACATGGGCCTTGAAGACGGACCCAGCGCCTTTACGTTGTGCACGAATAACACGACCCATATCTGGCTTTCAATACCTGTTTAGAGAGAAACAAACGAACACCGCACATTATTATTAGAGCACAATGGATTGTAGCACACTTTTATCTAATAAGCAAATAATTATATGTATATGTATACATGTACGTAGCACAAGCCTTCACCGTACTAATTTTATCAGTCAGTATTAAAGGTACATAAAGTGCAGAAAAATCCAAAATATTTTAATTTTCATAATAAGAACTATTTTAACTTCACTATTCATTAAAAATTTTACGGTGATGGTTTTAATAAATTGAAATATTTCGAGATAAAATTGCAGAACAAAACACCCACCAAGCCTCAAAAATTAGAAAAGAAAGAGAAGGAGGAAGAAAAGTACAAAACATGGGAATTTGGCAATTGGCAGACAGTGCTGACAACTTCAATATCAAATTGTGAACACACTTGTGCTATTGTGAATGATACACACTTCCGCGCAGAGGTGTTATACTAATTATTCCGAAAGTGAAAATATTTTTTATTCCGATCGATTTTCAGCCGAACCCCTCTTTTAATTTTAGTATGGATCTGAATGCATTTTTCAAAAAAATGGAGTGACCTCCGAACGGTTAATGAAGAGTAATTTTCTTGTACACTATTTTAAAGACATATTTTACATAATAAGATTAGAGAAATATCATTGGAAGTCTTCAAGACCGGATTCAGATTATGGATATCTGACGATACTATCGTCAACCATATAATAACAAAAGTATAATGCACAATGAGGTTAAGCTGACGTAGTTTGAAAAGAAAACTTTTTCATACTTGCCAAAAAGCGCTTCTCTATACTGGCGAAAATTAGAGATCTATTGCTACGAAGACCAAAGCAAATACATTTAATGCCGATCCCGGTGTGAAGGATTAAAGACTCACATAAAACAATCGTTGAGTTATTGGTCTGACTAAGTCCTCGAGTTCACAATCCTATAGCCTGCAGTGGCCGAGCTGTAGATAATAGTTGCTTAAGCGACTTATCAACTCCAATTACAAAAACTAGGGTTTGCCAATAAAAGGTATTTTATTTTCTTGCTGAAAGTAAACGTTGTCCAAATCAATACCATCCAATTCCGGCCATGAAAAATCATTATCATCTCTCGATAGCGCAATCCTTTCAAGACCAAAGTCTTAATGCAAGTTATGGTGTAATGACGTTTGTGGAATGCCCAATTTCAAACAAAAAGAAGAAAAAATGACGAGGAACACTTTATGATACAGCAGCAAAATTCTCAGTTGTTATTGAGTGACGTGCACATATTTTTTTCTGGGCACTATTAACTTGTCGCAACAGTTCCATTTTTTCCACAAAATTTCTGTATTGCGGTCCGACAAGGTGTTTCACGGCTACCGAAAAATGTTTTAATTTTACAAATTGTCTCTGCCAGGCTTTTCCCCGCTTTTATAGCAAATTTTATTAATTTTTATTAGTGACGTAGGTTTACTTGTTCAATGCCGAAAAACTGACGTCTCCCGGAATGGCCGGCTATTCAAAATAACACCTCTTATTATGACGGTTCGTTGGCCTTTTAGGAGACAAAAATCTAATATTTAGCGGCCGACATTCCGAAGGTCAAGGTTCCAGGTCTGGTGTGACAAAAATCCAAAAATTAATTTTTCTAACTGCGGCCGCTATCCGGCAGGAAATTGTAAGTACTTCAAGTGTACTTCTGACATGATATAAAAGCTCCTCGACCTTGCGGAGGCAAATTAGAATAAACTGTAGATCCCTCCATTGAAGTTGTTTAACAAAACTTCAAGGCGCAAAACACAAAATGAAGCAGCAGCTCGGCTGGAAATCGCTTCAGCGGTTATAAAGCGCCAATTATATAGGGTGCGCCATCTATACGTGGTGAATGGAAATATTAAATAACTATGACATATTTGAACCGATTACGTGCAGTAAAAGCTTTTCGGAAAGGTTATTCCAATACAATTTCAGCCATGTATCGCTTTACGCCCAAAGAACGTGCGGAAATAGTTAAAATGTACATTAGGTGCAATCGTTCAGTTGTTGCAACATAGCGTGCGTATCGGTAAAAAGGTCTGAAAAACTTTTGGTTGGAACAAATGTCACACACTGAAATCAACGTTAAAATTCTAGCGGCAAAAGTTCCACGGACGTGTGGTATCGAAAGGAGGGGATATCGACTGGCCAAAAAGATTGCCCGATTTGACTGCATCAGCTTTTTCTTGTGGGGCTTTTCGAAAAGCAAAGTGTACCCCGACAAACCGAAGACTTTGAACGAGCTGAAGAACAACATTCAAGCTGAAGTTGCTGCGATTTCGCTCGAGATGCTGGCAAATGTCTTGTAAAACGCCGGAAAAAGAGTGAAGTTTTGTTTGCGCAATAGAGGGGGTCGCTGGAAAAAAATTGTAAGGTTTTAAATCTGATAATAAAAAAAAAGTTTATTAAAATTAATTGAAAATTTCTCAAGTTATTCAACATTTCCAATGACCACATAAAGATGACGCACCCTGTATACTATGTATATATTAATGGAAAAAAAGTGTACACAATTTAAATATATTTATATTTTTTGCCATTTTAATTTTGAGATTATATATATATTTCATATTTATTTCAATTAATATTTAGATATATGCGCTTTACAAGTTACTCATAAATGACGTTTAAAAAAAAACTGATTTAAATCATCAGTATCGAACTATTAAAAATTTAAAATACATATACATACATATAATGATAATAATAATAATAATAATAATAAAAATAATATATAGTTTTGATCAGCAAAAATTCAGAAGACAGTGTGATACAGCATAAGGGGGAATTGGGGGTAAAGGGAAGGGCGTTAGGTTAGGTTAGGTTAAGGGTGTACATTGTTATTGTTATTATTTTTTTTTTATCTTTTGCAATATGCCAAAAATAACACAAATCCAAATACATATTAATTACACATACAGATATTATATAACTTATAGTAATTTAAACGAACGACAAACAAATAAATATACACACATCGATTGTTATAACATTTCCAATGTTGCTTATAAAATTTAAACATTTTCTTACTTGTTTTTTTTTTGTAATCAACTTGCATGGATTTCTCATAAACAAAGAGTAAACAGTAGACCAAAGTAGCTTAGTTTGAAATAGAAAAAAAAATCGACAAGTAATGTAATAATTTAAATAAAAAAAAGTTCCAGCTCAACAAAAACTAACAACTACAAAACGAAATTCAGCGTTGCACACATACAATTACATAGAGATGTTGTTTTTTTTCTATTTTTTTTTTTATTTTTTGGCCACTTCAATATGAAGCTCCCAGCTACATACAGTTTTCAAATATATGTATGTGTATATGTAAATACTTTACGAGAGCAAAACTAATTAATTATGCATTTAGCTGGCACACCAAACAATATGAAAAACATTTATTAGCTGGTGTTTGGGAAATTTGTGCTGAAAATGGTTTTAATTTTTTTAAGTTCTTACATTTTTTTTTTGTTTTTTTTTTTCTTTTTTTGCATCCTACAAAATTGTGTCTTGGTGGTGTTGGTGTATTTGAAATTATTGGCTTGGCGGCGTGAGGTGTAGTATATATGTATATAATAGCATTTAACTATACACACATATGTATGTACATATGCTTGCTTGCTTGCCGCGGTGTCGATCGTATGCTGTTTGAATTGGTTGAAACTAAGTATTTATGATAAACATAAAATTACAAATTACATTTGTTTTGTTGTTGCAGATCAATTTTTCTTTTCATACTTTGTTTGTTCGCTTTTTTTCTTCTCTTCATGATTGCTTGTGTTAACTCTTAATTTGTTGCTTTGCTTTTAATTATAATTTAATTTTTTTTATTTTTATTTTATTTCTTATTTATTTTTTCACTGTGTACTTAATAATGCACCACCAACGCTGCTCTATATATATATATATATATATATTTTCTTTTTTTTTAATGTATGAATGTATGTATGTACTAAATTTTGTTTGTAATTAATTTCAGTGTGTGTCTGCGTGTTTATCTCTGTGTGTGTGTGCATGCATTCATTCATTTATTGCGAGAGCCACATACATATATATTTTAAATTTTATTCATTTTTGGCTCTTTGTAAAAAGTTCAGTAAAAAATGCTTAACTAGGCCGTTTAGTATTCTTATTTATTTATTTATTTATTTACTTATTTATGTCTGTATATAAACTGCTTTATTCATTACGCTTTTCTCTTGTTATTTCACTTATTGCGCTTTTATCGTTTCTCTATATAGCTTATTTACTTCACAATGCATTTGCAGCGCCAGCATATATGTATGTATATTTGTTACATATATATATTTTTGTTTACTTATGTTGCTTTTAATGTTACTATTTGTTTTAGGGTTTATGTGTGTATGTGCGTGTGTGGGTGTTTCACGTCGTGCATATGTATGTTTGCGTGTACCTTGTGGGCTGTAAGACAATTCTATTTTCTGCTTATTTTTATGCTAATTTTAATTTTATTTATTTATTTTTCATTTTTGTATCAATTTATGCTTAACGCACTTCAAGCCACATCACTCATTGTTATCCTTGCTACTTTTTCGCTCTTTACAAATTTCATTTCATACAGCATTTCGTTTACTATGCATATTTTGCCATTTCAGTAACCAACATTCTTTCTATTTAATTTAATTTTTATTTTTAATATTTTTTATTTTTTTTTTAATATTTATAAATTTATTTCATTCATTTGTATTTATGCACTATCACTTATATTTTTACAAATGGCGTTTCATTGAGTGATATATGTATTATATATATGTAGATCGAATAAAAATTACTTGTTGCAACACATAACTAACAGTAAAAATAATCTAGTAGATAATTATTTACCCATATATTGTTGTTGTTTTGCTACGATATGCATATCCTTTGTATACAGACGATGGTTAACAAACATTTTGGGCGTACAAAATATAAATTACAAACTTTTTCACAATACAATCTATAGCATATATAAAGTGTAATTGTATTTGTGTTTAGAAAAAAATATGTATTACAAAAGAAAAAAAAAAAAAGAAAAAATAAAACAAATTAAACAAAAAAAAAAGCATAAATACTCACATTTATATATATATATATTAAATTAAAATTGTGGTTTTCATTATTGCAAGGACATATTGGCATGATTTAAAATTAAGAATTTCAACAAAAGCAAAAAAAAAAAAAGAGACACACTACATATCATTACAAGGCTACACTTTTTGTAGCACAGCATCATAGAAATGGAGTTTATTTTATAAAAAAAACATGCTTCACAGATTTTTGAAACTAAATAACACAAGCTGAGTTTGAAAAACTGAAATTTCATACTACAAATTATGCGTACATAAGCGGTCTTATTACACAAAAGTGCAGCGAAAATGTATGTTTGTTGAAAACTGTATTTTTTTATGATATTTCGGAGGCCTCTCATTGTTTTTCTAGCGTTCTGTGGTGCTAATTTAAAAATACATAAATTTTTGGAAATACCGTTTCAACTCGTTTTTTTTTTCTTTTTGCATATATCTCAGCGACACGCTGGAAACCTTTTCTGGTAATCATAAAAAAAATTAAAATTAAATTATTTCCGACATTCCGTTCAACAAATATCAAAAAGATTTCACTTTAGCGATTTCGTAGCATAAAAAAAAAAATACATAAATAGAAGCAATAAAATTAAAACTTGGCACTTGCTGTGAGTAAACCTCACATAAAATGTTTGAATATATTTTTTTTTACATAAAAAACGCTATGCTCAAAGGCAAGAGCTGCTGAAAGAGTAAATGTGAAAATGAATGAGAAAAGAAACTTGTTTTAAAAACATTAAGCCGTAGGAATAAAATGCAAGTTGTGGATTTAAAGAAGCCTATTAGAACAACAGTTATGCACAAACAATTCATGGACTAAAAATGACGCTGGTCGGTATACATATATATTTCTAAATTAAAAAAAAAATAAATAAAAGAAAAAACAAAGAATAAAAAAAATTCAAATAATATAAAACATGTAGTTTTTGAATGCATTTTGAAACAAAGTTTATCTCTTATTTTTACAACAAATACAAATTGCTTTTAATGGCGAAATTTTATATAAAAAGAAAATATAATAACAACGAAAAAACACATTATTAATAATTTTTCTATTATTATAAGCAATTTCAAACACATTTTGTAAATGCTGTTTTTTTATTACTGCAACAAAGCAAATACATTTTTATTACTATTTTATTTCCATTGTTTAACTTTAAAAATTGTATACTAAAAATTCATAATAGCATTTTTTTTGTGTGCCAAACTGCGTGTATATGACTACAATGGGTAATAATACCTGTGCAGCAAATTTTCGTTCTCCAAGTCAAACATTTCACACAAGAGTTAATTAATTTTTCATTTAATTTTTTTTTTCGTTTCATTTCTATATAAATTTTTATAATGGAACTTAACTATATAAATAATAAAATATTTTATATTTTTTATATTATATTATTATGTGCAGCTTGCTTGCTCGCTCATTAATGGTTTTTCCAAATTCATTATCATGCAATCCAGCGTGTACATAGACATACGTAGTAGTTGTATATGTACATTCAATTTTTCGTTAAAACTGCATGCAGTTTATATGTATTTCCCCCTTCTTCATTCTAATTGCTTTTTCACATTTTGGCATTTATTTTCATATTTTTTGTTCAAATTAAATAATCGATAATTCATTTCAATTCATTATAATTTACATTCATTATTCATTAGCAATGCCGAGATTGCTAATGCTTATTTAAAGTATATGTATGTATGTGTGTGTGTTCTTCTTCTTCTTATTTTTACATGCATTTATATATTAAGCAGCTTGCTTTATGTTTCTGTTTTTAAATGTCTCATTTCGTTATTGTGTGTTTGATTATATATGTATGCATATATATGTATATATATATATATATACATATACTGTAATTTAAAATTCTCTTATAATTAAGTGAAACAAAAAAAAAAAACAATTAGAAGAAAACTATCGTTTGTGCCGTAATCAATCAGCGTTCAGCGTTTTCCATTTAATTTTATTATTATTACTCATTTCATTTTTTATTTCGCACACACTATTTTTTACGCTCATTTATTTTATTTTTATTTTTTTTTTGTCGTATGTTTCTACGTTGCGCATTTATCACTACGAATTTTTACTTATGCTCATTTTTTATTTGTTTGGAATTCGCTGACTGATTACCAGTTGGCCATGCCTGGCTTGTTGAGTGTCATGAAATATATTTGACACGATGAAGCACCTTTGGCACTGCTAAAGAACACCTTGTCATTACGTTCGCACAGGAATTTCAAGCGTTGTGCTTTTTTGTGCATAAACACACCATCCAAATGACCACTTTCAACTGAACGAATCTGAAGAGAAAAACAAACATATTTGTTGATAAAAAACATTTTATAGAATTTTTATTAATTTTTAATATTTACTTCTATTGCTTTATTGCCCCAGCCCATGATTTGCCCAGTACCAATGTAGGCTACAGATGTTGGCATTTCGCCCCACTGTGGAGAAAAATGAGAAAGGGAAAATTATTAAATGAAAATTTATACATAGTGTTTTTTCATGTTTTTTAACAAAAGAGTTTTTTTGTTAAAATTAAATTGTAATTCAGCACATATTAATCATGATCTTTTGCCATTTTTCGGTTTGTTTCATACTTCCATCAGCCTACAGCGTCTGTGATTTACCGGCGGAGAGCTTGGCCAAATGATTTTCAGCGGCTCTTCGGTCGACCAATTTTTTACCATCCAGAGAGTTTTACAGATACCAAAGCCAATGGTAGTTAGATGGTGCAAGGCCTGGATTAAATGGTAGCTGCATAAAAACTTCCCAACCAAGCACCGCAAATTTTGTTTTGTCAGGTTTTAGCAGCTCTTAATTGACAATTCCCTTTCAACCCCATACCATACACTCGGCATCACCTTTTATTGCAACCAAAGGCTTTAAAATCGTTTATAGGGGGTCACCGGCCTTTAAACATGATTTTTTATACCGGGTTTTCCAATAAGAGGTATTCAAAAAAAATGGAATTTTATTTATTTTAATGTAAAGAGGAAGATATGCCATCAATAATGAAAAACAATATCAGCCAAAAGGCCGCCACGGCTATGCTGAAAGGATCGTATCGTTTGGACCAAGGACCTCAACAGCTACAAGAATACCATCAAGGGGGCCTTGAATTGACGTTGGCCTGCTGGCTTAGACCTTATCATTCACGTTGCCCCAAAGAAAAGATGTTGCAAGGTGTTAAATCACAAGATCTCGGTATCTAATTGCGATCACCTATTCGAGAGAAAGCACGGTCCGGAAACTTTTTCCTTAAAAGATCAATGGTTTCGTTGCCTGTGTGGCACTTAGCATCGTCTTGTTAAAAAAAACGTTTTTCAGAAATATGCCATCCAATTACGGCGACCAGCAGCATTTTCGAAAAAGTAAAGTCAAACAACTCCGTCGGAGCATAAATCGCACCAAATAGTCGTACGTTGCGGCTGAACAGGCTTTCCAATAATAAATCTTGGGTTTTTCGAGCCCCAGATGCGACAGTTTTACTTATGGACGTAACCATTGAGGAGGAAATGGGTCTCATCAATCACGCTGATTTTTCGATGAAATTCTATATCATTTTCATGTGTTTTAAGGACACAATCTGCAAAGACACGACGTTGTTGATGATCGCCTGGCCTGTGTTCTTGTGTTAACTGAACTTTATAAACCTTAAGACCACAATCTTTATGCAAATTATGGTGATAAGAAGTTTGTGGAAGGCCCGATTTCAAAGAATGACGAGGAATACATAAACCTGGGTTTTCTTTAACACTTTGAGCTACAGCAACAATATTTTCTTGCTCTTGCATCTCCATTTTTTCCATTAAATTGTGTATTGCGGTCCAATAAGGTGTTTCGACAACCGAAAAATGTTTTAGTTTCACGAATCGCCTCTAGCCGGTTTTCATCATCTTTATAGTAAATTTTAATATTTTCAATGTGTTGTTGAAGCGTGTATGGTTCCTTTTTTATTACTGAAATGTCAAAAATTTATTGCTTCAAACGTGACATCTACCGGAAAATCAGTCTATTCAACATAACCCCTCTTATTGGAAAACCCTTTATGATGTTATATATTCTTATATTTAACCCATTTTTCATCGCCCGTGTTTGCAGTTTTCTTATCGCGAGCCGCACAAAATTTTCGGCAAGTTTTTATTTCAAAAAGCATCATATAATGTACTTCTTTGGGAATTTCACTCAAACATCAAACATCAAGGGAATTCTTCTTCTCGAAATAAAGTGCTTGAAAGGTCAGCTTTTAAATATAACAACATCCAGTGACACAAATCTCGAGACTTTTTACAAAACCCACATTTTTTAATTTAAAATAAAATTGCTTCAGAAAATAAATAATCAAATTACCTGCAAAACAATATTCTTAGAAACTCGTCCAACCGTATTTACATAGACACCTTCATTGTCGTAGCATAATAATAATTGCATGCCATTCGAATTTGGAAGCGCCACTATACAATGCGGAATGATTGCATCGTGAGTCTGAATTAAAAAAAAAGAAAGAATATTAATAATTTTTGATTTTTCAAGTCTACCATCCAGAGGCAGTAACTTACATGTTTAGGAAGATAAATGTCGTAGACTTCGGCAGAGTCCAAATCCACAGCGTGAAAACCCTCAGCCGAACCATAAATCACTTTAAGACGTGATTGATCCTCTATGGTGAGATCTACTAATAACGGACGATGTTCTAAATCGCCGAAATTCTGCAAAAACATAAAGAGGGAGAGAGAAAAGCGAATGTTATTAATGCATTTAGTTTGAACCGCACGTATAGCACAGCACACTCACCTTAAATGCCATAAATTTGTGATATGGCTTTGGAGCCCATGCATAAATTTCAATAGAGTCTTTTAATGCGATCACTAGGAACTTAATCCTTTCGTATTTCACAATTTTAAAATGTACAGCACCTTGTAAATCACCAACATTTATCCAACCATTGCGACGTTCCACTTGCTGTAAAAGGAAATAGAAAAATTGGAATTATATTCACTATAGCTAGAGCTGCAAAAACAACAAATGTGGTTGTTATAGAGGTTTGTAGAATCCGTTTAAGAGCAGGCAAAACTTGCCATCTAATGAGAGACTCATGAAATGAACTTTTTCAATGGTTTCGGACGAAAGGCAGAGGCATTAGTTGGGTTAAGGAGACAGTTTAAAAAAGAAAAATCGGGGTCTACGCACCAAGGCAGATTCAAGAAGAGGAGACCCTTTAATGTTACAGAATATAATTTGTATATGTGTGGTCACCATAAAAATGACATATATCTCCCAGACCATTTAAGTTTTGACGACCGGAGGAAGCAGGTGAAAAGGAGGACTTCCATTCAATTGGAAAAATTAGGTGAAGAAGGATTTGGCTTCTTTTGCTTTTTCCAATTGGCGACGAACAACGAAAGAAGAAATGCCCGGCGCGCCATTGTTGACTCGGCTATAATTATGTTAGTGGATCACTTTCCAATGGAGTTACTCACTTGAACGTCGCCGATCTAAGAACTAATATTTAGAAGGATCTTCCAACTTCAAGTGAGCTGCAACACAGTCTTGGAGGAACAAGGTATGGGGCATACCCGAACACTATCTTCCCAGGCAACACAAACTCTAAATTCTGTTTAGATAATTTCAATTCCCCAGAAGTCCTATATCAAGGGGCACAACCGGCAAAAAACTCAATCACAGATGCGTTATCCACTCTTTATTACACTCCCTAAACTTTTTCATGAGAAAATCAGACAACCGCAACGTCTGATAAAATCTACGATCACTAAAAAGTCTCTTATTCTTACCAAGCTGGGATGCTTCTCAAATAATTTTTCTCCCAGCTGCAGGAACGTGGATGAGAGAGTCTAACGAACACATCCACTGACACTGTCCAGCGCTTCGCACCATGCGGCACACCTTTCTCGACTGCCTCGAATCGACTGCAAGCATTAAAAAGCTCACAGTTTTTATTAGACATACTACAGGTTCGCGCATTTGAGGAACCAGATAATAGGATCTTTATTATCACAATGGGCTAAAGGCATAAGTGTGCTGACCACAAGCCGGCAGCCACAACAACTCACTCAACTCACTCTCGAATGACTTAAGTCGAAACCTGAGATTACTGTGCTTACGGTCTTCGGTTCAGAAGTAAGACATAAGTAATCAGTATTAACTCTAAGTCTACTCTCTGGCAAGATCCCTGTCATAGTGCTAGCTCATTAGTAATTTAAACACCAAGAACTCTTTGAGAGAGAAGTTCGCAGAAGGGGCAATAAACAACTAGAATATTATCTTTTGGATAGGTAATTTCCCTAGTAAGAAACCATAAATTGTATAATGAGAGCCAAGTCTATAGTTTCTTGTATTTCCCATATAACTATCATGCCGTAATTTGAGAGTCCAACAGCTCTCGATGGAATTTATGATGAAGGGCGTAGAGCAAAATAAAACATTACCAAAGACTTGGTGGTCGTGGTAGCCGATTGGTTGGCATTGTCTACTGCCATTCGGAAGTTCAGGGTTCAAGTATTGGTACGACCAACAACAGAAAATAAATTTAAAAAAAATTCAGTTTATTTTTTTAATTGCGGTCACCCCACGCCAGTGTGTTTCGGACATGAAATAAAGGCTCCGCATACAAAAACTATCAGCCGTTCGGAGGCCGCTTAGTATAAACTCTAGGTCCCTCCATTTGTAGTAAAAACATCAAGATGTCAAACCACAAATTGGAGGAAAGGCTCGGTCGAAAATCGTTTCAGCGGTTACAAAGCGCCAATTATATAAAGACTAGCAGCTATATATTGTATATTTTTCCGTCCTAAAGGTGTCCCAAAGTACGTACTCCAAGAAATAAGTATTCTGAACATAAATTTGGCTTTTTTCAAAAATTATCACTCACATCAGAAAGTCCATCGGTACGTAGAATTTTCGATTTCAACCATGACAAATAGTAAACGCGCACACGATTCTTTTTTCCAGATATGGTAACCAAAATATTTTGACCCTCTAGCACCTCCATTTGTTGGAAACGACGACGCGAGATCAGTTGATACACCTGAAACAATAAAATAAAATGAAAAATAAAATCTAATAAACAATGCTAAACAACCATAGTAGGCGACAAACAACAATACCTTTCCTTGACCCGAACGATCGAGCAACATAAGACCATTCTCGGTGCCAATTAACAAATTGACACCCCACAAGGCGGCGCATAGTATCTCCGAATTGAAACGTTTCTTATATTTACGTATTTCCGGTGTATCGCTAGTCGCCTCATGCGATGTCGGCGTCACATTCACATTTATATGCGATTCACGACGCGTTGGTCCCGAACCGCCAGCACCAAAACCGAATGTTAGGAAACTACGCTGTTTCTGTTGCAACGCATATGCGTGCGGTGGTAAATTGGCCGATGATGATGATGATGTTGTCAATGGTGATGATATGTTGGAAGAAGAAGAAGCAGATTTATGCAATAAATTAGTAATACTGCTAGTCGATCTAGTTTTACAAATCGAATTCTTCGGACTATTCTGCCGCGACGAGGACGACAGGGATATTGTCGATTGCGGTGAATTGTTCGAAGTGATAAACGATTTTGATGGCGTGGAATGCACTGATGAGTTGATGGCCGCTTGATACTGTTTGGGTAGTGGAGGAAAGAGAATAAAAAAACAAGGTTTTGTGTTAATAATGTTATTGTAATAAAAAAATTCATACATTATTACTATTTACAAGTTGTAAGTTTTGAAAAATTTATTTATTTTTTATTATTAATATTATTTGTAGCTTTAATAAAAAGACATATTCACCATTTTCAAATCTTTATGCATAACATGCGAGTAAGTGGGGTATAATATTTACTTAACAAAAAAAGAGAACTTAGCACCGGCAAAAATTAGAATAAACACACAATGGAGGTAGAATTAAGCATGATAACGCTCAGGAGATCCGCAAGCACGGCGGGAGATATTATAACATACAATTATATAGCGAGAGGGAATTTTTATTAATTTTTTTTTTTTTTGAAAAAATTTTTTTTTTGTTAAACAAGTATCGTATTTATTTATAAAAAATTTCAAATGAAAAATTTAATTGGCAGAGTTTTGCGTATATCATGCTTAATTTTACTCAATATGACTTATAGAACTGCTAATGAGAATAAGTAGAAAATGTATAGATGAGATGATGATATAGTACGAAGTAATCTTTTGTTAATTGTTATAGTCGAAAGTTATATAAAATATATATTTATATACATAGTTGTAGCCACTATTAACTATTCATTGGGTGCACAGAGAGCTAACAACATAAATATGCAGATGTATATAATATAAATGAAAGAATGTGTTAAGTCTTTCCCAGACGCCATGGAATCGGTGGTATAAAGAAGAAGAAAAAGAATAGTAGAAAATTTTCCAAAAACAAAATAATACATTTGCAATTATGTATGTATATAAATTATACATTATAAGTTACTTATTTTTTGGTGCAGGTATGTGTGTAAATGTATGTGCTATTTTTTTTTTAATGAAAATAAAAGTAAATTTTTGAAAAATAATAAAATTAAAAATTAGTCCATTACACTTTTTTATTTATAGAAATTTAAATTCTTTTAAAACGATTCATACAAATGCATGTACGTATGTATGTATGTTATATTGTGTGCTGCGTATGTTTATGTATGAAATGTATGTAGGTATAATTATTTATCTGACCGACAGTTGGTTTTTAAACTTTTGAGAGAACTTATTACTAAAAAATACTTTTTTTTGCCTATAATAAAAAAATAAATAAATGAAAAAATTATAATTATATATATAAAATGTATTCTTTTTTTTTTGACTTCGAAACATCGAAATTGCTGATATTGTACTTTTTAGAGTCGAAATTTACAAAAACAGGTCTATTCTCACTGTTACCGGTAAAGTAAATTTTGTTACTTTTTTTAACACCCGAAATTGAATTTGGTATACTGGTGACAATTTTTGAAAAAAAAAAAAAATTACATCTTCCAGTTGGCAAGGTAAAAAAGAATAATATTCACATCGAAATGGAAGATGGTGCATAACAAAATAAAAAGTTTTAATTATTTGTTTATTAAATCATCAATATTTGATATATGCCTGAGCGACAAAAAAAGGTGATTGAAAACGCTATTTTCCAAATTAAAAACGTAATTTTTTCTCGCAACTTCTTAGCATTCGCTTTTTGTACACTTTTTTCTTTATCTTAAATGAATTCCGAACCTAAAATATGCCTACCCACTTTGGATTTTTTTTTTTTTTAACTAACAACACAAAATCAAAAAGCAGATTTTTTTTGTTATCTCCTATTTCGCTGGTAACAATATTTACAGGATGACAGTGAACTCAGAATACGAAATAGTAACAAAATTTACTTCATGGAAAATTTTAATACCAAAGTGAATTTTGTTACCTCGACAAAATAGGCCTGAAAGAGCTGTGGTTTGACATAACTTTTAGAGTAGGAAGCTAAATGAAATGGGTATGTGAATTATAAGTCCCTGGACTTTTAGATTTAAGTAAATTACTTTATTACCTAGAAATTATAATCGAATAAATTTTATATACATATTTTTTTCAGTAAAAAAAAATGTTAATTTCGTTTAAAAAATATAGAGACGGCAGATTTAAACAAAGGTTGATCCTTCAAACGTTTCCTTTCTGAACTACAGCCTATTTAAGCTTTAACAGTCTTCAATACCATTCCAAATAAGGGAGGGTTTTCAATGAGTCAATCATTTTTTCGAAGCTTGTCTTTTGACAGATGTTAATTGATTTAAACTCAATTTGTTTGGTAATTTTATATGACCAAAATAATAGTTCGGTTCGCGCAACATGCGCTGCGCCCAATATTCGGTCGACATAATCACTCCACAGAGTCGGTAATACGAGCAACGATGAATGCTTTCACAACACATTTACATCAGTGGCTAACGCGCACCCTCAGAGATACCGTACAGAGCGTACCGAAGACGCTACTGTGGAGCAGGGTATCAAAGATGATCAGAATGAATCGATCCATTATCGCGCGCAACAACTAGAGCTGCGCTTATCCATTCAAACTCAAGGTAAGAAACCGAGCGACCAATTAGCGCGTCGCACGTTTGGCATAAGATGATAACTGATTTCGATTTTCTAAGAATTTTTTTTCCGCCGATTAAGCTCACTTTAGGTTGAATAGGATTTGGGTCTTTGTGAAGTGTTGCAAATTTACGCATAACGAAAATAGGGATACATTGAAAACTGACTTCCAAATGATGACGAGTCTGCAAGAAATTTACGTTTGAAATAAATCGTCTTTCAGACAGTTTGTGGATCCATTTGTGCAGCGAATTTTCAAAACCAGTTCGTTATAGGATGAAACAACTCGCGTATGTGCTCGCTTAGTATGTGTAGTGCGTTCAGTAGAAAATCTTGCTGTTGTAGCTTGCACAATCATCAACATCTACCCGATACCGTAGCAAAAGTTAAATATTTTGCACAGAATTGTACACAAGGACCTCATTATGAAGGCTTATAAAATCTAATTGGCACAAGAACTGACCAGCTGATGCGATTTGTCTCCGTTGTACTGCTTTTTTGTGTTAAGTAAAGCATCCCGTATTTATTTATGACCCAAAACTCTAAATTGAAGACGTCAGTGCAGTCAAAGAGGGCAACGCTAGTGAAAATGTCTTGAAAAATTGCAACCTCAGACAGAACAAAAAGGGCTATTGCAAGGCCAGCCGCGGTAGCAATACAAATGAAGTGCTGCACCATCATTAACCGAATTGTTCCGAGCATACAAAACGTATTGTTCGAATTTGAAAACACAAATTTTTCATGGCTCACCCGTTACATGGGGTCAGAAGTTTTAGTGTCATTTGAGGAAATAACTAATATAAGATATTTTACATATATTTTTATTTTTGACGATATTGAAGATATGTTATGTCTAAATCAACATTTCATTTATCAAAAAAAAAAAATATTTATTATGTGTCAACTTTATTTTGAAAAATTTAATTGTAAAATATGAATTTTCCCCATCAAATATCTATTTTCGATATTATTAACAGAAATTATTGAACAGTACAAAAATACTTTTTTATTATTTGTTAGTCACAGATTTTTTATGTAATTAACATATATACATATATTCATTTTATATAACGGGTATGCATTTTTTGATGCCAAATTTCGAGCACTATTATATACTAGATTGCACAATTAACTGCCTCTATTTAGCATGCCACACAGAGAATATATAACAAACATACATACTATGTTGTATCGAAAAAAAAAGAAGAAAAAAATGAAGAAAAATAGAAAAAAAAATTTACAATAACTTAAAGTGAACTTTTATTCTTTAAACTTCATCGACTTAAATATTTTTTAATTACATAATTTTTACCAAGAAAAACTAAATATTGCAGACAGAGGAAGAGAGATTAAATGAAAATTATTACAAGAATAAAAGAAGAAATGTACCATTTGAAAAAAAGTGAGAAAAAACTTGTGAATATTTTTTTTTTTTGAAATTTATTTTTTACCAATAGATTTACAGATGTTTCAAAATTTTCTTATATGTGTATAGCTATGTTTGTATGTAAACAACATAGTATATTTTTGGTTGGTTTCTTGTACAGACACTAACTAACACTTTGTTGTTATACAATTACGGTTAATTTTTTTTATTTGCGAATGGTTGCTAAACTAAAACTTGCAATTATTATTATTTTTTTTCTGTTGATATTTTTATACATTTTATTTTTGGTGGAATTTTTATAAAATACTTACTATTTGTTTTTAATTGCAATTTGGCATATTGATAATTTGTTAAAAATTTCATGGCGGCCATCAGCTCATAACACAAACGTCGCGGAAAGACAAAGCACAATGAAGAAAAATTTTTATTTTGTTATATATAAATAATTTAAAAAAATATTTTTTTTTTTTATATATTTTTGGTTTTATAAGAGACAAAAAAAATTATGTACGATCTAATCATGCCAACAAAAAAAAAAACTAGTTTTTTAACAGTTAAACTAAACTAGAAAATCTACACAAATCAATTACTCAAATGTCAACAAAAATATAGAAAACAATTTTATAAAATTTAAAGAAAAAATTTTGTCTAAAAAATTAAAATTTACTGCAAATATCTACACTGGCCTGCCTAAACATTAGAATAATTATAATAGGGTTATCCATTTCGTGGTTTCAAGAGTACAGCGCTAAATTTTGACATCTGTCAAACTTAACTGGCAAACGAAGCGTGTTTTGTTTCAGTTAAAAGTCACGCATTTATAAAAATGGAACGCTTAACAACCGCACATAGCCGTCCAACTACTTAAGCAGTTGTTAAAATTTTAGAGAAATTTGAAGAGACTGGATCGGTTACAGTTATTGTAAGGGCTGTGCAATGTCGTTTTGTTAGCTCCACCCCAAATATCGCTCCTGTGAGGGAAAGTGTAGAGCCGAATGTGTTTCTCGACGATCCCGGGACTTGGACTGACACCTACATCCATATAAAGCCCAGTTCACACAAAAACTTAAACTGATCTGACCATTCACAATGCCGTACATGCGTCGATTGGTTGTTTGAACATCAAACAGTGGACGACGATTTTTCGATTAAAATTTACTTCACCAACTAGGCACATTAGTCACTCGGAGGAGACGTAGATAAGCGAAATTTTCGCAAGTTGAAGACCGTGTTCATGCGAATAAACCCACATTCGTCATATTATGGTTGAGCTACCTCCCAGTAAGTGCCAAAAAGCTATCTAAGATTATCTTAAACTGATTGAAGTTTGCAAAAATTCGCGAGGCGCTCATTTGAGCTCTTCATTTTCAAACTTTATAATAAAAGAAAAGAATTTCATGAAAAAAATATGTATATTTCGAAACCGCAAAATGTATAACCCTCTACTCCATGCTCTTATTCTATTCAAGTTACAAAATTGCGGTTTTTACTTCAAGCAGACTTCCAAGTCAGTCACATAATCTGAGATTTTTTCTTTTATTTAAATGTATCGTTGTATTGAGTTTGTTGTGTTTTTTTTTTGGTTTTTGTTGCTTTTGTTAATCAATAAGTTATGAAAAAACGTAAACAAAAGAGTTTTTAGTTCTAACAAAACAAGGCCACGCCAAAATGATTTTTATTTGCCAACAACTCGTAATTATTAGTCACAAATACTTGTATGTTTGTGGAAGAAATTTGAATTAAATGACTTATTTAAGGGATATGCGATTAATCAATTAATCGAATATGCAGATTAATCGAAACTTAATTGAATAATTAATCAATGACTAATGATTTTTCATTAATATAATTAATTATATATAACAATGTAAATATTTAAAATTAAAAGGAAATTTATAAATAATTTTAATGGTTGGAAAATAAATTTTTAAAATTGCTTTCGACCATTGGAAATAAAAAAAATATTCAGATTTCAATTTAATTCTATTTCAATTAAACTGCAAATAATCAAGCTCTGTTCAGTTAATCATTTAGTTGACAATAAATTGATTACAAAATGAACGAATCAATTAATCAATAAATTCTTGATTAAAATTTATTTTAATTGTTTAAACGCATATCCCCAATTTGATTATTTATTTATTTAGTTTGCATACCACACCTACATAAATTAGTTAGCCAAAAACAAAAAATAAATTAACAATTTAAAAAATCTCTTCAGTTCAGCTTCTGCTTCTTTAAAATATAATAAATCTCTGCGGTTTTTGTCACTGTGTTTGAAAGTGGGTCTTTCAAGCAATATTTTTCTAGAAGACCGTATTGTAAGATCCTTATTCGCGTAAAAAGGTATTTTGACTTATAAATGAGTGAGATTGCTGAAGAAATGCGTTGTTGGATGAGGTTTTTTCACAATAAAAAAAGGTAAAAACGTGGCGAAAATTTTTTGTGGATTACGGTGGGAGTGCTGTAGGTGTACAACAGACCTACTTAGGAGTGGTTTCCTCGATTTCGTTCCGGAAATTTTGATATCAAAGATGCACCTCTCTCTGGTCGACCAGTCAACTAAAAGCCCGCTTAAATTGTACAACCGATACAGCAAGACCATGCATGCAAGCTGTCAGGAGATAGCGAAGGCATTAGGCAACACTAATGGAAACAAAAAAGTTTGGATGCCACTTGAATTAACGCAATAAAAAAATGATGCATCGAAAATCGAGCCATTTCTGAAGCGACGAGATGACATAACAGACAAAAACTTATCGTCAAAGTGCGGTAACCCTCTTTAAACGCCATTAAAGAACCCGAATTAACGACAAACAAGGTCATTTTGACTGTGTGATGGGAATTGGAAGCGCTGAGCTGTCACCTCCTCATGAAGAGATCGTATTCGAGCATATTGTCAACAGTTATTCAGCTCTTCAAACAAAAAATCATCTAGTATTGATCAAACGTCAGACTACATACATCATTGAAGACCAGGCAAAAATTGATGGTGTTTCGTTGGGAAGTTGTCATGGACACACCACAAAGCACGGACCGTGCACCAACTGTCCATCATTTGTTTAGGCTTAAGCTATCTTGTTGGTCAAGAAATGAAATGAAAATCAGTTGGTCAAGTTCTTCCACGACAAATCACAGAGATTTTACGCTGTTGGAATTTAGCAGCTAACCGAAAAATGCCGAAAGGTCACAGATAATAATGGTCAATATGTATTGTATATGAGGAAAATTAATTTTGAATAAAGAAAAATTTTGTTTTGCGGTTTTCAATAAAGCAATGTTTTTTTCGGAATTACTCTTTTGAGGGGTTTTACTTGATTGCTATTTCACAATGAACAGATTTACTCAGAAATCGTGTAATTTTATTACCAAAATAATGGCTCGGTTCGGTCGACATAATCGCCCAGAAAAGTCGATAGTTTGAGTAACCATCGGTCGGTTATGCACCATGTTTACTCTAAGGTATAATGCGCATCGCATTTAAGGTGATAATAATCTATAAGTCATTGTCGAAACGCCATTGCATCCTCAAAAAGTCATTGTACGTTGTGCTCAATAAACAGAGGTAATATTTAGTCCATATTTCTTCAAAAATGAAGCCTGCCATAATGTTCCAGTCAATGGGATACGCTATAAAGCCATGATTAATGACTATCTCGTGCCTGAGAATGGATGATGTTTATGTAAACGACGGCATACAGCCATAATTAATTTTTTGAAGGAATCTTTTGGATAGCGCATTATCTCGTATCATGAGCCTTCTACTCTTTGTGAGGTTATGCGAAGTCGCTTGTCTACGCAGATAAGCTTGAGATGATTGGCGCCTTGGAAGAGAATATTCGGCGTAGTATTGCTGACATATGGCCAAGAGGCCGAAAGTTGATTCGAGACACCTGCCGGAAATAATTTAAAAAATATAATGGTAAACCCTTATCTTTATAATAAGGCTAAATTCTTGGCCACATTAATTCAGATAAGTTTTTATTCTTCTTGAAAACCATATGTCTAAAAAAACACCTTTTATAAGAAAAACCGCGGAGATTTTTTATATATTTATACACATTTAAATATAATAATAAATTTTACTAGTTTAGAAGCTTCATTTTTTATTATCTTTTCAAAAACAAACTCTTGAGTTTTTTGATAAAGTGTATATTTTAAGTAAAAAAGTAGCAATAAACAAATGAGAAAACAAAAAGATATTTATAACTATCTCAGTTAACGATTTGCTTCATTAGAAAACACAAAAGCGTATTCTTATAATTTTCAATTTTATTTAATACAAAATCTCTAGACAGCTTTTTTTTTATTTTCAATTCCATAATCTGTTCTGTATATGATCTAGTTGGTTTAATATGCATTTTGGTCCCTAAATGTAACAGATTCTGGAAGAATTGGAATATGTGCTCTTGCTTTACGGCATATAGAAATTACGAAACATAACCTAAAAATTTTCCAAAAACCTACAAATTCTTTCTTGATGATATGTATATATAAGTATATATAGAAAATAATACATAAATCAATGTATGTTAACGCAACGTTAAAGCTTATTATTATGTAAATGAAGGCAACAAAACACAAACAACGATAACTAACAACAATTTTGTATGTAAATAAAAATAATAACAATAACTTAAAATACATACAAATAAATAAAGTAATAAAATGCCGTACGAACGTTAAATTTCAAACGCATTAAACTAATATAAAATTAATTAATTAAACAAATTAAACACAAAAAAAAAAGTAAAATTAAATAAAACATATTTGAAATACTTAAGACAACAACAAATGTGTTGAAACGCAATACTCACCTCCTCGCTGGATGATTTATCATGACGCGGTGGTGTTGCTGGCGAAGCTTGACTAAGCAAATCGGGTAAGACGCTGCTTGTACGTGTACCGGGAGTACCGAGACCGCTATTTTCACTGCTACGATTCTATAGGTGCGTGCGCAACGATATGAGGAGGAAGAAATTCAGAGGGGAAAAGAAAAAAAACATTTTATTGATAAACTTTAATATGTATGTATGCAAGTATGAAATTTTGTGATATTTCTACAATGATAGACGTCAATAACTGTTGTACATACATACATATGTAAAATTATAAAAGGTTTACAACAACGCATATAATACAAAGAAATATGTACGGATTGTGGGTTTGGGTATAAATAAGTATCGAAATTGTACGTTTGTACAATATATCTCACACACAATTCTTTAGCTGGTAAAAACTACTCGTATATGTGCGAGTATATGAATGCCAATGAGCTATAGTTTTTAATACACATATATATGTAGCAGGTACGTATGCATTTACTAACGGAAATTTAATGTATGTATGTAACATTTAAGAATATTAAAACCTCAATGTCCTATCACAATGAATATCGATGATATTAGGTCGAACAAAAAGTTCGTTCGGTTTTTATCTAAGAGATGGGGCTATTTTCCATAGAACTAGTGTTACGTGTTTCATCATGTCATACTATACGGCGTTGAAAACGTGTTTATTCGCGCTAAAATTTGTCTTTGACAGCTTTTCGATTGATTGACTCAGTACGTTGTGAGCGCTCGCCAAAGATGGATCAATTTTTCTTCGATCAATCCGAAAAAGCAGCCAAAGCGGCTGAAAAAAGTAATTAAATTTATGGGCCCGATACCGTAAACGAACGTGTAGCACAAAACTGGTTTGCTGGTTCCGTTCCGGTAATTTCGAAGTCAAAGATGCACCACGCGTCGGGAGGCATGTCGTCGAAAATTGCGATAAATTCATGGAAATACAATAGTTGAAACAGACCTTCGCGTGAGCACTTGCTGAGGAACTAACGATAGGCCTGAAAACCGTTTGGAACCATTTGCATAACTTTGGATTCAAAAAGAAGCTCGATGTTTGGGTGCCAAACGAACTAACGCAAAAACATGATGGACGGAATTTCCATCTGCGAATCGCTGCTGAACCGTAACAAAATCGACCCGTTTCTGAAGCGGATTGTGACTGGCCATGAAAAATGGGTCACTTACGACAACATCGAGCGCAAAAGTTCGTGGCCAAAGCTCGGGGAAGCAGCCAAGACGGTAGCCAAGACCGGATTGACGGTCAGAAAGGTTTTGCTGTGTGTTTGATGGGATTGGTTAGGAATCATCTACTACCCTATGACCCGGCCCTCTACTGCCAACAAATGGACCGATTGAAGGCAGCACTCATCCAGAGGAACCCATTTTTGATCAACAGAGGCCGAATATTGTTCCATCAGGACAACGCCAGGCCACACACGTCTTTTGTGACGCGCCAGTCGCACCAAGAGCTCGGATGGTAAGTAAGTATCGTACAGATGATATAGGGTCTATACCTCGCGTTCTATAAGTGTAATTGGATTACGCTAGATGGTGTTAGAAAGGAGATATTTTGTGTCAAAAAACATAATGGGAGCAGTGCTGATCACTTTACTCAGTAAGCTTGATCAAATTAGCAATGAAAAATCAACCGTTTCCCTACGTTCAAACTCTTAATTCGAAACTGTATTATCAGCAAAAGGACTGTTTGAAGAGAGGAATCGCCCAGTGGCGCCCAGCTTTGGGCAACAGGAAGGGAATTGTATTTTATCGGAAGACAAAACCAGACCACACACATCGATAGTGATTCGCCAAAAGCTTCGAGAGTTTGGTTGGGAAGCTCTTATGCATTCATCTTATAGTGAAGTATGGACTTCAAAAGAAGCTTGTGCAAATTGATCTTTCCAATATTTTGCCAATATGGATAAGGGTTTCTTTTTCTGCAAAATGACAAACAGTTGCACGGATCATGACTATCTAATCTATATCTATATAATATAATATATAAAATGTATGTATATATATATACAATATATGTAGATATGTACTAAGCCGCAAATAGACTGTGAAACTATTGAGCCGATTTCGATCAAATTTACCCGATAGCTTTATTGAAACCCGGCGAGTGCTCCAGTCAGAAAAAAAAAATCCGAAAAATTTACTTGAAATTTGGGACACAGGTACCTGCTGCATTGCCAAAAATTATCACAATGGCATGCTTTATTTCGGGCAATGAACCTGGGTCCGATCTATCCTAAAATATTGCATTTGCGGTTCGATTTGCTTGCTATTTCGTACACAAATGTCTCATTAAATAAATTATGAAGAGGATCACTTTTTCTGTCGTGAAGTGGATCTGGAACCGATCTATGGATTTACTTGAAATTTGGTACTTAGCAACTATTTGCTTTGATTATCACGAACATAACTAGGAAGCGGACCAGGGACAGATCAATTAAAGTGAATCCTATTTATTGGCCGATTTGAAGAAAACTTTTTTCCAAAGCATAATCGATAAAAATTCATCTAATTTTTTTAACCAACCGCTCATACGATATACCAATTAATCCGCCGTATACAGTACAGTCTGTCAGTCAGAATACCCTAATTCTAATTACAATTAATAATGAATTTTGTTTTTTCTCTTTTGATTTCATCAAAACCTCATTGGCATTCATAAACAATTTGGCGATTTGTTTCAGTTTATAGTGTATTGTTATTATTATTATTATAATTTTTTTTTTGGAAAATTAGCAATAGTTACCAAACTAGTTATTAATATTAAGTAAGTAATTGTAAGCGATAATAAGCGTTGAGGTTAGTTTTAAAGCGTTAGCTCTATGAAAGACTGCAGTCATATTATTTACAGAACAAAACAAAAAAAAAATGGAAACCAATTTTATGATTGCAGTCTTTTGGTAAATGATTAATTTGTGAAAATGCGACAGAAAAATTAATAAAGTATGAAAAATTTTTTAGATTAGTTTTTAGTAAGCTATTTATTATAATGAAGAAGAATAAATTACAATGCAAGTTTCAAGCTTTTAGTTGATATGTATTATAAAGATTTTTTGAATATTAATATTTTATACAAATTTATGTAAAACATGAATAGTAAATGTTTTTTTTTGCTATAGAAAACTTAATGAAACTTTAAATTAAATTAATTTTTAAATACTTATTATGCATAAAAATTTATTAATAGTTTAATTTAAGTATTTTTTTTTTTTAGGAATTTCTGGTTATTTTTTAGGAATATAATACAAAGGAAAATTCAAAACTTGTGCTTATTTTATTGTTATTATTTTTTTAATTTACAATTGTAACAAATTTTATGACATTTTTTTTTAGATTTTTTTTTAAAGTTTGTTAAACAAATAATAAACAATGACATTTTTAATTTTTTTGTTACTATCAAAAATTTAATTAATATATTAAATGAAAATAAATATTTTAATTGACAATCAAAAATTAACGAAACTAAATAGAAATAATAATTAAATAATTTAACGAATTTATTAATTAAAAATATTTATTTAAGATGTAAAACAGCATGAAAGTGTTCTATTTTCAGACATGTGGTTTTCATGAAGACAAAAACGCATATCATTCAATGTCATGGCCAATAGTTAAACTTTTTTTTTTATAAAAATAGCGGTTCGCTGACATTATGTCTAATGACTGCCGCGGATTCAACCACATTTTGCAGCAGTTGGGACTATATCGCGATGTAATAACGCGCCGAACATTATTTTCGAAGGCGTCAATCGTCTCGAGCTTATCTGTGCACTGACAAGCGAGTTAACATAACCTCACTGAAAAAGGCCAACGGTGCTAAATCACACGATCTTTTAGGCCCACTTTGCGAGATACTGCACTCATGAAAAGTTGCCTTCAATAAATTGATTGTTTCTTTGACTGTATGGTTTGTAGCGCCTCTTGGTTGGAGGCAAAGGTCGTTTACATAAATATTCTCCATCCACAGACAAGTAAAACTCATTAATCATGGCTCTATAGTGTTCACCATTGACTCTAACATTATGGCGTCTCAACAATGGCTTGTGCATTATTCTCACTCCAAATGCGACAAGTTTTTTTCTATTAATGTACCCATTTAAAAAAAAAAGTGAGCTACAGCGCTGAACAAAATTTTCTTTTGAAAATCTGGATCGATGACTTTCTTGTTTTGGACCTATGCAACGAATTTGCGATGCTCTTGATGGTCGTTCGGTTTCATTTCTTACACGAGTTGGAGGATTTTGTAAGCTTGCCAACCAAGATCCCTGCGCAAAAACTTCCATCAAGTGTATGGGCTTAGCTACAATTGTTGCACGCAATGGCGATTGGACTCGTTCGGGTCTTCTTTGGTGGAGTAAACGTTTTATAAATCGATTTATGGTTGCTTGTATTACCAACTTTGCTAGTCGATTATGTCGACCGAACTTGGTAGTCGATTATGTCGACCGAACTGAGCTATTATTTTGATAATAAATTTGCACGATTCCTGAGTATCTACTCATTATGAAATGGCAAACCGAACCGTGTATAGTAAATCAAGGAATAGCTTTCAAACGTAACAACTGCGAAAAAAAGTATTGGCTCATTGAAAACCACACGTCTAAAAACATTAATTCTATAAAATATGTATATATATAAAAATGAATAAATATATTTTTTTATTTAAGTTAAATGATAGTAATTTTTATAGCTTCTTCATTATAATATCTTACTTAAAATTTACATAATCTAAGGTTAAGGATTAAAAGAAATATGTTATAAATGAAAGAATATGCAATAAAATGTAGTATTTTATTATTATTATTTTTTTCAAATTCAATAAGCCATAACAGTTAAAAAGCAGAGAGAAGTTGACTGATGAAATTTTTGATTTTTTTAATCTTTTTTTTTCAATCTTTACTTTTTAATAATAACAATAATGAATTCAGTTCAGTTCAGTGCATACATAAAAAATAGAGAATATAGCATTTCAATAAATTAAATATAGACCGAGAGTTAAATGTAATATTGGGGATTTGTGAAAAAAAAAATTACATGATTTCTCCAAAACATTAGTTCATAAACGAATACCATTATTACAAATACAAAAACGTATACAAATGGTGGAGGCTCTTATGTTTCAGTTACTAGGTACTTCAAATAAACTATGTATATATACGTGTAGTACATGTATTTTGATATAATAAAAATTAATATATTTTTTTTTCGTTTAATTAATATATGTAATTCGATGCAAAAAGCCAACAAGTTTTAGAGTACAGCAGTAGAGCGGAGAAAAAAGCGTTAAGCAGATGATAAATAATTTCATTTGTTTTTCAGTTAATAATTCAAACAAGTATTAAATAATATAGCTTATTGACATAAACACATACATAAATACACATGTAAATAAATTTATATAAAATTAATAAATGGCTGTTTTAACATACATATACATATGTACGTACATAAATTAATTACAAACACATATCGTATTATATTTTTAAGTTTACACAGTTACGTACATACATACATACATACAGATAATATTATATATACAAGCGTGCAACAATTCTCCTCTCTTTCTCTAACAATTGGTGATTTTTGATTTTTGATTTTTGATTTTTCTTTTCCTTTTTTTTTTTTGCATAATTTTTAATGAATTTTGTGAATCAATGGAAAAAATGGTTAATTACTTTCAAATGCATTTTTTGTTTTTTTTTTTCTGAGTAAACATAATTATTATTGGAATTAATGTGGTGGTAGTAGTGGGTGCTATAAAGCGTAGTTATACTTTTTATTTAGCAATAGAATTATTTACCTTATTGTTAGCGTATTATTCATTTACAAATGTGGTAGTAAAATCGTTAGTTTAGTACAGTTTATTTTTTGTTTTTGTAAAGCTCATGTTAGAAATATTTGTTTTTTTTTGTTAATACAGATAATATTTATGTACATAATTACACTGTTAGGTATGTCAATTTTATCAACGGCAAAATCAATATAAAACTTCGTATTCAGAGCTAAAAAATATTCAAAAGTATATTTTTAGTGACGCCATATTTTTTGGCAGCCCTAAGGCATCAAGCAATTCGAATATGAAAAGAATAAAAAATATATTGTATATGTATGTACATGTAATTGAAGAGAATTAAACGGACAAATGGAAGTAAAAAAATTCTTTCAAACACTTTTTTCAATTTTCTAAATATTTCAAAAAAGTAAAAAATTCCGCCGTGTTTTTGTCATTGGATAAGCCATGTCACTAGGGGCTGTCAGAATCCATACAAAATTCTATGTATGATACACGCATGAAATTTCAAATGCAAATTAGCGCTCAGTTGTTTTGTGTCAAACCTAGGCCTTTAGCATCCCATCGATCCCACCGGCTCTCAAATTCCCATCCACAACCATGGCCTCTCTGAACTACCTGGTTATCTTAATAAAGTTAATTAATCTAAATACTTTAATAAGAGCATTTTCAGAGATATCGTCAAGAAACCCAATGCCGATAGTTGTGAACCTTTTCCTGCACAATGTTTTGCTACCATATACAAGATGGCTGCTTATGCAGTAGTCGTTTTATCATATCCCTACTGGCGTGTCTACCGATGAGACATTTGGCTACGTTGGTTTGCTTGCTGAGCAATAGCCAGAGGTATATCTATTACCTCTTTACCAGGATCTAATTGTAAAGTGGAGTCTAATCTAGGTAGTTGAGCAGTTTCGTAGTTACCTCTTATCTTGGAATCCATTGCGCATTTAATTTGTACTACGATACTAGCCCTGCCAGCAGATCAACTCACTCTTTCACTATTTTTGAAGTGGTATTGAATGGCTTTAATGACATCAGTTGGCCGAGTATTTGTATGTAAAATATATTTTTTGTAGTAAGAAAACGAATTGCTTGGATCCAGCAGTCGCTCTTTAATAGCAACAAACTTTGCCTGAAAACCTCCGAGGTGATTTGTTAGGCGAATGACAATTCTGTTGTCTAATTCTCCGTCCGTCCGTCTAACGATCCGTCCATATAGATGGTAATCTGTGCCTTCGTCTATCTTTTCTTTGTCACATTTTTTCTCTGGAGTGGAAGGCAACATTTATGGACGATTTTAAATGTATTTCTAGAGGATTTAAATTCAACTAATAGGGAAGGTTTTCTCAGCCAGAGTACCGAGTTTCCAGCCAGTCGCTTGCAGCATAATATTTAATGCCTGAGTCGGCGTGGTTCTAAGCAAAAGAAGAATAATATAAATATTTAAAACTTTATTGAACCGTTTTCCTTTTTGTTTTTTGAAAAATAATGGTGAATACAAAAACTCGCACAAAACGATTTAAAATTCGTTGAATTGTTGAGGCATTGGGTAGAAAAGTACTGCCAATCATTAAGTAATTCTCTCGCATTTGGGAAAAACAGCGGAACCACCATAGCAACCGAAATGTAATATCTAGTGCTCGGTATAAAATCATGAGAAAAAAGTGGGACGAAGATTTATGTAAAACTTACCGTAGCGCAAAATGTCGCTTAGATTCTTAGGAGGGAAATTAGAACACGAAAATGAGTTTGGAAGTATTTTCCCGCATTAACCAGAGATATTAATTGAACACTTTAGGATTTTTTGTATTCATTTTGAATAACATCCCAAAATTTATAGAAAGAAGAAGCTTTAAATTCGGTGGTCACTGATTACTAGTACTCTAAATTAACCCAAAATCACCTTCCATTGTAAAAAAAAAGTAAACATATAATTTATTTAACTTCAAATACCACAATGTAGGCTGCGGGCGCTGATTCCACTGCACCTCTACTGCAACCAAATTTTTATTTAATTTAACAAATATATGTTGGGACACTTATTTTGTGAGAGCATCACTCATATTGAAATGTTTGTAGTGCAGTAAAAAGAAATTATTTTTCCAATGGATGGCGGCATTTATCTGTATCTCGCGTTGCATAAGTCCGATCGGCTTCCGCTAGATTGGCGTTAGAAAGATCGCATTTCGTACTAAAAAGCTTTTCTGGCAGTTTTGTGATTGATTTACTCAGTTTTGTTTGAGCATGCGTCAAAGATGGACACTAACAATTTCGGTTTCAGCCCTGTAATTTTGATGCAAAAGATGTTTCACAGCGTGGAAGGCCATTTGTCGTATATGTCGATAAGAACATGGACTTTGTCGAGTCTGACCGTCATGTAAGCGCTGTTTCGATTGCCCAAGAGCTAAAGATTGCACAAAAAAACCGTTTGGAACCATTTGATTAAGGCTGGATACGAAAAGTATATTTTATGAAAAAATAATGAATTAATTTGCCACACCAAATATTTTAGTGTTATTTTAATTTTAAATTAAATTCTTTTATGCTGACGAAAATGTAATCGTATAATCATAAATCAGCTGCTAAACATTCCCAGCACGAATTTGCAGTTTTCTCTCTAAACTCAACGTCAAAAGTGTCTTCGTTACTAATTTGATTGACCATTAGGTCACCAAACAGAACGGGCATTTCACGTAAAACAAAATACAAGTTGATAAACCAAGTTTGGGCTAATTTTGGTGTTAATCAGTGTAATTTTTACATTTGAATTTGAATTTAATTATATTAAAATTATTTTCATTTACTTTTTACTTATATGAAATATATATTATTAGCAATACAAGCTGTCCATTACACCAGTCAAACCAAGCAAAATAATTAAATTAATGAAACATACAAAGAAATGCATATTAAAAAAAACCATAACCAAAACAAAGCACGTACAAAAATACATAAATAAATAATACAATAAAATAGAAATGACTGAAATATGAACACAAAACAAACCAAATAAAATGATGAAAAGCAAACTGACAAGACAAAATGTGTTTTTTCATTAATTGTCTGCAAGGATTTTCCAATAATACGAGCGTAAGTATAGAGAGTAGTGAGTGAGAGTAGCGAGGAAAGGCGGAGCAGCGTGTAAAAGCATAAACATTTTTCGAAAAAATAACGCTTTGGTACTTTGGATGCAACAGAATACCAAAAACACAATCGGTGAGGTGATTGAGGGAGATATATTGGGCTTTAAGACTCTCTCTCGTCTTACACAATTTTTTCAATTTTTATTCTCTAGCTTTTTGTTGTATTACAAAATTGTTATTTTCGAAAGCTCACAATCAATGGACAAGAGACATATGATGAGAGGTAGTAATATTAATGATTGTTATTATTATTTTTTTCTTTGAGTACAAAGCTTTTCGTTTTTTGCCTTTTTTTAATTAGTGAACTTTGTACTTTTTAATTAAATTAATTAATTATTTTTTTGGACTTTTCGAGTGACTTTGTGTATGTGTATTGGTGTGTGAGAAAGTGTAATTATTGTATGTGTGTGTGTGTGTTTACCTGCTGCTGTAGTAGTTGTTGCGCCAGGAATGACTGCTGTCGTGCGGCGGAGTTTTGCAAGACTATAACCGATTCAGTCTTTTCACGTCTGGGTCGTAGAAAATCTAGCTTATTATTTGCCCAACTCGATTTGGCTACTTGTGGCTGCGCCGACACACCACCACCACCATTGGCACTTGAATTTGGCACTTTATTGGCACTTGAAGAACTGCCGCTGCTGGCGACGGTTGACTTTGGAGTTTGTTGCTGCTTGACAGCATTGGAAGCACTCGTTTCGGCGCTACTCGCGCTATTATTTTTATCCTTTGGCTTATTTTCTGCACTGGACGTCGTTGTCGACGTCGCAGCTGTTGTTGTTGTTGTTGATGCATTTTCATTTTTACTATTATACATGCTGCTGCGTGGTAGCATGACGCTGGCACGTTGTGCCTGCACCAATTGCGGTGAGCTCAAATTGCTACTATTACTCAGTACAGCCGAGTAACGTTTCATTTGTGGGAAGAAATCGGAGTTTTCACGTCTAAAGCTACGCATAATATTCGGCAACTTCGAGTCGGACTCTTGACGTTTGTGCACTTGCACTTGTTGTTGTGGTTGGGCCTTTTGTGCGCCAATGCCGCCACTACGAGTGGGTTTTTGTGCGCATGCGCTGCTTGTGCTACTTGAGCCGCTACCGCTGCTGCTGCTGTTAGCTGGCGTCTGCTGTTGCTTTTGCTGCATTTCTTTGGTTGTGGTTCCTTTTAGAGGCTGGAAGCCTTGTGGCACTGGTGGTGGTGTCTGCTGTTCTGTTTGTAGCTGTTGCTTCGCTACTGCTGCTGCTGTTGTTGTTGGTGTTGGTGAATGATGATGACTCGAATTACGGCGCGACATCTCCGAGACGCTACTACGATGTAGTAGCTTCTGTTCGGCCTTTAATGTGCTCGAATTGGATATGGCAGCGGCGCCGGCCGCATCACGGTTGGGGAAGAACTTCTCAATGTCCCATTCACGCATGAGCACATCTTCGTCCTTGTGTGGGGGTGGACGATTAGCACAAGTGGTGGATGCAGACTTTTGGATTTTGTTTTGATTTTCGAGTTTCTGTATGAAATTTCAGTATTTTGTTTTTGCACTTAAAAACTCATTCTCGATTGAATTATTTATTTAATTAAGAAACAAAAAAAAAATACTAATGGCATATATGTAAGTATGATGAAGTAGATAGATAGTTGGAGAGTAGAGTGATCTGATTTTGGGAGACGGGTTTCTTTAGGTTGGATTAAGGGAGTTTGTGGTCGGATGGTGGGATTGGGGTTTAGTTTTAGAATGCTAAGTTTTGCAAACCTTTTCATGAATTTTCGCTTAAATTTCATATACGCGCGCTCTTTGAGTGAGTGTATGAGAAAGTGTTTGTTTTTTTTATATATAATATATATCTATATATATCATTTTTTAATATTTATTTGAGCATTCAATTTGTTATTTGCAATGATATATGTATGTAGTAGATGAAGTAGTGTTTGATGTACGATTGAGTATATATATTTATATTATATGTATTTTAAATACATATTAAGTATTTACAAAGAGTAAGTATGTGCATACACACTGCTACGAGCATTTAGATACATATATATTTGTTTTTATAAACGGAGAGTAAATATATATATGCGTGCATGAAAAATGCCATTTCGGTATTATAACAGTGCATTTATAGCACACAAAAACGTATGCACCAGCAGCGTCTAGAGTTTTAGGTCGAATTCGTTTCATTTTTTCAATTAAAAAATTATTATATTACCAATTATTTTGATTTTTTTTTTACTTTACAGAAAAATAAATAATAACATATTAAATGAAGAGGAAAAAAAATAGTTAAATTAGATCAAAAAATTTAACGAGGCGTAACTTTCAAAAAAAAAAAAAAAAAAAAAAATCGAAAAATTCGTAAAATTCACGAAAAATATTTGCAGTACGAGTATGATGAAAAATATGTTTGTAAATTAAGCAGATTCTGCATCTCCCATTGCGTACATAAAAGCAGCAATAGGTTACTTGCATTATGAAAATTAACTTATAAATAAGAGTATGTAAGTATATACGTTTATTTTTTTTGTTTGTTAAAATAATTAAATTATTAAAAGAATTTAACTTATTACAACTAATTACAAACTAAAATAGGTAATAAAAAAGTCTTTGTTAAAAAGAAATAATTTATATATATGTTTAAATATATACGTATGTTAACGCAGTATAAAAAAGGAGGTGTGAAACGTCTACAGTACGCGTAAAGAACGCGTGCGTTTTGAGTCAGTATTCTTTGCATAAAATCATATATGAAAAATATATATATTTTTTAGGGTTTATATCTTACAATTTTACAACAGTAAGAACCACAACCACTTGTTTATTGCTTTTGTTGCTATTTCGTTGTTGTTGTTGTTGTGAAGTAATGCAAATAATTAATAATTACATATAAACAATTAAAAAAAAATTGTACAAATTAGATATAAATATGTATATATATGTAGTAGGACTTTTTCAAACGGAAAATTTGTTATTTTTTACTTAAATTAATATTATGTAAACGTTATTAAAATGTAAAATATACAGTACTAACACAGTTTACACACCAACAACCCTAAAGCGATTTACCATATATATATATATATATATATAAATATATAATATATATGTATATATAATATAATTAATTTACAATAATAATTACAGCAACAAATCGGATTTATTATTTTTCAGTAAAAACATTCAGCTTTAACTGCTTAACGACTCGTCTCTAATTAACCTATGATGCAGAGTTGTTGAGCCAATCAAAATCGATAAGCTTCCGCACATTTTTGCAATTTTCAAACAAAAAAAAAATTTATATCGAAAAAATCACCAATTTTTCCACAAACTTTTATTTCTAAATATAAATAACCTATAGTATAACTAGTTACACTAACTTAAATGTGTATAAAAATAAATTTTTATTAAAGCACATCAAATTACATATCGCACTTACCCGCTTAATCAATGTGCGATCGCCAGCTTGATCATCGTCATCGGGTGTTGGTGGCAATGGACGATTTGGTGGTCCACCGCCGCTACCACTGCCACCGCCATGGCTAATGGGTGTGGTCGTTGTGTCCTCAGAGACGGGTCCAAGTCCAGGCCTATATGAAAATTCAGGACTGTACCATAAAACAAATACACAAAACAAACATACGAACGAAAAGTAGGGGCAGGAAGGGAGCGTTTTGGTGGGCAGGAAAGTTTCAGGAAAATTATACAGTGATGTATGACAAAAAATGTGGCGCAATAATAAAAAAAAAATAATAATAAATAAATATGACAAATTGATTGCAAAAATGAATTGATTATTGAAATTAATTGATTTGCAAATTTATTTCAATCAAAAAAAAAAGATATAAATTCGAAATAAAGTGATAAAGTATTCGAAAAAAAAAGAATTTATAAATTAATTAAAATTAATTGAAAAAAAACAAAATATTTTAAGTAGTTGATGTAGAAGAAATAGAAGAATGTGAAACAAAAATTTTATTAGTTTGCAACACAATTCTAAGTATGTATACATGAGCTATGAAATAAATGTTTATGCATAGATGTTATGTTGACAGCTTAATTTTTGGAAAGGTAAAGTGTAAATATATACGTGTGTATGTTTTTCAATTATTGAAAATGTTGCGAGCGCAGTTAAATACATTAACATTTATTATATATCTAAAAAAAAAATAGATTTATGAATTATTTTACTTTAGCTTTAGTTAGGTATTTTAAAATTAATCGCCATTGTAATTATGTATATTTTCTTTAATTTTTAATATTTAATCGCTTATTTGAACTGCTTTCTTTTTATTTTACTTTTCGTATTTTATGTTATTTTTATTTAATTTTATTTTATTTTCGCTTTTCTATGTAATTTTAATTTGTTTTTAATTCAATTTATTATATTTTAATGTTGCTCCACTTCATTTAATTTTTTTAATTTATTTTATTTTAATTTTAATCTATTTTATACAATTTAATGTTATTTTATTTAATATATTAGGTAAGGTAAAGAGTTCGTTCGGTTTATTTTTTTTATTGATTTTTCAAAATATGATAGCTTTGTGTACATTTGTCCGATTGAAGTCAACTTGTTGCCAACGAGATGCCAACTTTATTATACCCCGTCTTCTCGTGGAAGGCTGCGTCCCTATTGGCAAAAAACTCGGAGAGCCAATTCTCACAGGCCTCTCTTGAGGCCAACTTCTCACCATTAAGCGCGTTCGCCATGTACAGGAAAAGATGGTAATCACTTGGTGCCAGGTCAGAACCAAAAGGTAGGTGCATTAGGACCTACCATCCGAGCTCCTGGAGCTTCTGGCGTGTCACCAAAGACGTGTGTGGCTTGGCGTTGTCCTGATGGAACACAATTCGGCCTGTGTTGATCAAAGATGGCATCTTCGGGATGAGTTCTGCTCGTAGTAGATGATTCTTTGCCAATCCCACCAAACACACAGCCAAACCTGGTGTATCTTTATATTAATTCAGTTTCATTTTTTTGAATTAAGTTTAATAATCTTACATAAATTTTGTTTTATTTTTCTTTTTTTACTTTTTTTCACTTTTTTGATTTTGCTTTTATTTAGTTTTTGTTTTATTGTAATTAATTTGATTCCAACTAATTATATATTTTTCTAGTTTTATTTTATTGTATCATTAATTTAGCTTTTATATCATTTTATTTTAATTCGTTTTATTTGATTTTGATTAATTTTTTTCATACAAAATTAATTTTTAATAACTTGAACATAATTAAATTTATTTTATTTAAATTCTAAATTTATTTTATTTTTTTTTTTAACTCATTTATTTAATTGTTTTCATTAAACTTGTTTATTTTTTTGTTTTATTTTTTACTTCTGATTATTTTATTTTGTTTTGCTTAGTTTTGTATCAATTCATTTAATTTTTGTTTTTTCCCTTTAAATATATTTTAGTTTTTTTTTTCATTGATTTTTTTATTTTATTTTCCTAATTCAATTTTTTTACAGATTTTTTTAAAATAATTTTGATTTAGTTGAAGTTTGTTTTATTATTTACTTCTATTTATTTTGTTTTGCTTCATTTAATTTATTTAATTAATTATATTTAATTTTTACATTCAATTTTTTGATTTTATTTATTTTTCTTCTATTACATTTTTGTTGTTTCATTTTTTTTTTTGTTTCTGCAAAAGCTTTACTTAATGGAATTTTTTACATGCTTAATTCTAATAATTTTAAATTAGTTAAACTTCGTTTTAATATTTATTTTAATTTTTTTTATGTTGTTTTGTTTCATTTCATTTTTATTCCTTTATTAAATTTATTTAGTATTAGTTACTTTACTACTTATTTGTTTAAATAATAGTATAATAAATAAAAATTATATTTTTTCGGTTTGGATTTTTTTCCTTACCATTTCCGTTACACCGTTAAAATTGAGCTTTGATTTATTGGTTTATTAATTATTTATTAATTTACTTCATATATTATTTGGTTTCTTAACTACTTATCTTTACCATTTACTACGCCACGCCAACTTTTCCAAAACCAAAATCATACACAAACACATACAAATGTAAGCAGAGAAAAATAGCATGTACTTACAGTGGCTTCGGTGGATCACTGGCCAACAGGGTACCATCATTACGTCCACGTTCGTTGGGCTCATCCGGTTCACTATCGGTATCGCTACTATCCAATGGATCTAATGGATTTATTGGTTGCGCATGATGATGATTATTGGATAACGGCGGTATAGCTGGTGCCGATTTCATCTGTGAAGATGACGATGATGATGAAGATGGTGGTACCGATTGACGATTGTTACGTGGTGGCGCCTCAGGTTGTGCCTGTTGCTGTTGTTGTTGTTGCAATTGTTGTTGTCCGAAAGCAGTTTGCGGTTGCGGCTGTTGAGAGATGCCCAATTCATTAAGTTGTGCTGCTATCATGTCCAAATCCTAATTTTTTGTTTATTTTTTTGTTTTTGTTTTTGTTTACATGTTGTTGGATTTGGATAAATAGTCGTGTGCACAATTAAGATTTGCAAAAAGGTGATGGTGATTGGTGGTGGTGATGAGACAATAAAAATGTTTGGAGGATTTTACGATACATTTACGATTGTTGACGTGTACAGGTGGTGTATATGTTTTTTTTTTTCATTCGTTGATGTTAAATCAAATTACCAATTCAATTGAGGGATTTCGTTTTTCATTTTTTTTTGTGGTGAAAGAATTGTGAAAAACAGTAAAAGTAGAATTAGAGTGGTTATTATTATTAAAAAAAAATATTAACAAACATACATACTTTACTGATTATCTTTGGATGCAGTTACAAGCAAACAATTTAGAAAATTAATAGAGGTTAGGTTGAACAAAGCAATGGTTCGCAGTAGTACAGCTTTTTATAACTGTTAATATTAAGTTTTAAGCAGTTAAGCATGCTAAGCAATAATCTGGGTAACAGTGCTAAGTTAAGTACGCCCTAAGCTTCTAAATTTTATAAATATGAAGATTTTGAAGAGGAAGAGACGGTGAAAATTATGGATGATTTTTAATAAGCTCTCAAATGGCTCTAACAAGGAAATCTAAGAAATGGTTGGGCCAAATATTAAAACTTGTACTTGAAATTTTGATTGAACAATAAAATTCAAAATTTAGGTTGATTTTGTTAAAAAAAAAATTTATAAAAAATAACAAATTTTTTAATGAAAACAATTAAAAAAAGGGAAAAATCCGATATGATTTTTAATAAACAAAATTTACTTAAATTAGTTAAAGCTATTTTTTAAATTTATGAATTAGAATTTTGAAGAAAAAAAATAATAGTATGCTATCCTTGCGTAGTACTCGCACAGAACCAGAGTAAGAAATCCTGAATATAAACAATTTTCAAACTCGTCATAGGCCTGGAATCATATACATATACATATAAGCAAAAGTTTCTCATTTCAACCTCTTTTTCAAATTTATTATCAGCATCTACCGAACTCATTTAAAAAATTTTTAATGAATATGTATGAATGTTTTATTTTTTATTATATTTTTTTTTTGCATTTAGCAGGAGGTAACCACTCTAATAAACTACTGATACCAAGCAATATTATGATAAAAAAATATTCAGGTTATCACGTGCATAGTGGAGAAGTGTTACAGCTTATTTATAGGTTAAAAAGTTGTGAGTTTTTAAAAACTACAAAAATATGGTGGCACCTCCAATGGTAAGAGATACAAACAGGCATATTGATATAGCATGAATGTGGTATGGCTCGGTGCATTACATAACTATAAATCAAATTCAAGTTTCAAGCAAATATTTTTTTTTTTGTCAAAATTGCACTTTTTGTTTTGGAAATTTTTCGAAATATGAAAATTTTAGTTAATCTTCTGATAATTAGCGTATTTCGTTTTAAATAAAAATTCCAAAATTTCCTTTCAAAGCAAAAAATAGCATAAAATTTAAATTTTGGGACAATTTAAATTTGCATTTAGTTTATAAAAATCCATTGGGATTTGAAACTGCATTTAAGACAACTTTTTGATTTTTTTTTAATTAATTTAATTCTAATTAACTTGACATTTTATTTTATTCAATATTTTACATGAAATTTTTTACTAAATTTAAACAGACATTTTAAAATTTAAACAAAAACTAATTTAATTCCCAAAACTCGTTAACAATTCTCTGTTCAATATTTATAAAAAGCACATTCTTCGTATTCGGTTACAGTTATTTGGTGTTAAATATATATAAAACTAAAATTTCTCAAACACATAAAGGCACATACACGCAAAAGGTAAGTAAAAGTGTGTTTGTGAGTGTTTTGTTTTGCAGCGGTGTAAATGAGTGTGAATGCAAGCAAAGAACAAAAAAAAACAGAAAAATAGAAACGAAAATGGGGAGAAACATACCTCAGGTCTCCTTGGTGGCAACTGTTTGGTGTTTCATATGATGATGATAAATGACGGTAATGAAATGCGTGTTTTTTCGTTGCGTTGTGTAAATAGTTTTCATATGTGAAGTGTACGAGTATATAATATGTTCCAATTTTGTTGCGGAGATAAGTTAAGTTTGGACACATCGTTGAATGTAGAATGTGGTGGGCGGACGGGCAACAAACATTTAATATGGTATACCAAAACAAATAAATTTGTTTTATTTTATATTTTTCATTTTTGTATTCCGTATCCAAAGCAAAAAACAAACATGTACATGATATAGATAGACAACAACGGGGACAACGCAAAACATGTAAATAAAAAAAAGAAGGCAATATAAAATCAAAACATGTTATATATGTATAACGCTATTTACAGGATTTATTTATGTTGGCATTACTTTTAATAAGAACTTTTATATGTTTTTTCTTTTTGATATTTAAAGCTTTTCGGGTTAACTAAACGAACAGCAACAACTAATTACTGGCTTAAATATGTTTTTAATATTATTCTTTTTTACATTATATATATGTATTATATATAGGACACAACGCCACAGATATGACATGCACAACAACACATATACATACCGATGGTTTGAAATTATTTTGCGAATTACGCTGTTGTTGTTGTGGCGTTTGAGCAGTGGGTTCTGAACTCTTCGGAGTCGGTGGCAATGGGCGATTGGCATGTGGTGGATTTGCAAGCGGTGGATCGGGCACCACAATAACGCGTTGCGGCAAAGCCGGACGTGACGGTGGACCAGGTTCTTCAATTTGTCTTTGCTCACGCTGCAGGATTAAAAAAAAAAAATTAATAAATAAATAAAATTATTATAAAATTTATAATGCAACTCTGTTGCATTTACAATGCACTCACCGATTGCGGCTTCTGATTGCGATTGGCTTGTGGTTGCTGCTGTGCCTGAGCCTGTGCTTGGGCTTGTGCAGCAGCCGCAGCCGCAGCCATTTGTTGTTGTTGCTGTTGTTCAGCAGCAATCCGTCCCTCTTGGATTTGTTGGAAATTACGTCGCAAAGTATCACCACCCGGTGCCTGTATAATGGAGCTAGGCTCACCAGCAATTTGTGGCTCATCATCATCATTATCCGAACCGGAGTAATGGAAGTCATCACGATCTTTCTCTTGCTTTCGTTTCTTACAACGATCGATGTGATCCTTCAGCTGTATACGCACCTGACGATCTGTGGGTTGATCTTTGATGAATGCATGCTTTAATAATTGCTCTGTGTAAGGCCGCTGATGGTAGTCTTTCACTGTGTAATGCAAGAAAAAAAGTGTATGAAAACAATTAGAATAAATAAAAAAAATTCAAATTAAGCCTTGTTCGATAGTTTACCAAGAACTGTGTCAATGAATCCGTGAAATTTCTTCGACCACTTTTTCGATTTTAGACGTGGCGGTGAATTGCGTGGTATCAAGAATAGTGCACGCATCGGATGTAAATCACACAATGGTGGCTGACACTCGGCCATTTCCAATGCGGTTATGCCCAATGACCACAAATCCGAACGATTATCGTACGTGGCCTCCGGATTTTCATCACAGGCAATAACTTCGGGTGCCATCCAATATGGTGTGCCTGTAACGGGAAACATAAATTAATACAAATTTATGTGTATACAAACATATACATTTAGTGTATACTCACCTATGAATGTGTTTCGTCGTCCTATCGTACGATCCAACTGTGCCGATACACCAAAGTCCACCAACTTAACTTCGGCATTGTCTGTGAGTAACACATTCTGTCCCTTGATATCACGATGTATTACTTTATTCGTATGCAAATAACTGAGACCACGTAATATTTCGCGACATATATACGCTATCCATTCTTCCTTTAAACTTTGACCCTTTGTCGATTTAACTAAATCGGTTACGGAGCCGGCACCACAATACTCCATCACCAGCCATAATTGATCGTCCTTACCGGGTGGAGATTTCTTTATAAAAGCGCCATAGTAAGTTGCTATATTACGATGATTTGAGTATTTTTTAAGCACGTTGATTTCCAATTTTATTTCTTCCTCTTCATCTTCGGTGACATCCATCACTTTTATGGCTGCTAATTGACCAGTTTTCGTATGGCGACCCTGAGATATAAGAGAAAATTTTATTTCAATATTAAATTTTTTTACATTTTTTTTGATATATTTTTGATATATTTTTTTAATATTTTTAATAGAATATTTTTTTAATTTTTCAAAGGTCGCAAAAATATTTTTATTTATCAATAAGAAGTAATCTCTTTTGACTCTTATGAAGACTTTAAAAATTGGAATGTTAAAAATAGTTGGTTGGGATTCTTCTAAAATATTTTTTACATACGAGGTGTCTTTAGTATTAACTTCTGATACTCGCTTTATTTTGCCACGTGCTCAGTTTTGAAGTTGGGTGCAAAACCAATTGGAACATCACAGAAAGAAAGGTTAAAGAACATCCAACCAGAAACATCTCGACTCTTTCAGAAGCTTCATCTCTGAAACATTGCAGGTGTAGAGCTCTCCATGTCTTGCACTTTGATTGGCCCAAGATCGTTTTTAAGCCCGGCAGCAAAGGTTTTACGGAACAACCTTTACTTTAAGTAGGCGCTGGCTACACTGTTGCCAATCTCTGCAGGAGATGATCAAACAGAAAAAACGTATTTCTGCTACTGTAGTTATTATTGCGATTTATTTAACCTAGTGGTAAAGGGAAAAGTTCACATGAAATATACTGTCTAAGAGAGTAATTCTTCCCAACAGTACGCAGTGTAAAAAGGGCAGAAGCTCTTTATACGAGCTGTTGCAGACGCTGTAAAAATATTGATGAGGGCAAAACGGTAATTTTTTAAGCGACTGCTTTGTTATTGTTGGTGTAGCGGATTACTTAACCTCACCTTGAAGCAGGCAGTGATAAAAATATAGCGTCTGTAGCTGAGAGTGTACATGAATACCGTGGAAAGTTGAATGACGTATGGAACATCGAGATCTTAAGAGATTCAAGAGCTGCCATTTCATCCAGAGCAAACAGCGGTTCCGTACGGTTGTGGGTGGGTGGAATTATCGATCCATATTTCTCGTAGCCTCGATGACATTTGGTTTCAACAAGACCGTGCCACATAACGCATACATCAATGGATTGAGAGAACACTTAGGTGAGCAGATAATTTCACGTTTTGGGCTTGGAAGCCAAGCCGTTGGACTTTTTGCTATGCGGACAATGCCGCTTCGCTTTAGGCCTTGTGTCGAAATGCTCGAGCGAGTCATCGAGAATTGGAATCAACGGATGGATCATCTGAGACATAGCCGCGGTAAACATTTGAAAGAGTTAATCTTCAAATGCCAAAGAATGTTCTTTCGAATAATAATGAAAATAGAAGCCTTGAAATGGCTCAGCCTTTTTAGAAAACAAGAGTTTGTTTAAGAAAAAAAAACCAGGGAGGATTTGCTTATAACATATTGTTATGCAGCCACTGGATAAATAACAAATCCACTAGATGCCATCGTGGAAGTCCAAAACCAAAACTTTCTGTTCAGATCAAGAGCTCGAGAAGCCAAAACTTTCTGTTCAGATCAAGAGCTCGAGAAACCAAAACTTTCTGTTCAGATCAAGAGCTCGAGAAGCCTCTTTAGACTTTTTATGTATTTCTGATAAAAAAAAGACCTACTGATGGAATTCACTAATCTAATATGCCTCTCTCTCTCTCTCTATCTCTCTATCTCTATCTCTATCTCTATCTCTATCTCTATCTATCTCTCTCTTTCTCTATCTCTCTCACTATCTCTATCTCTCTCTTTCTCTATCTACCTCTATCTCTCTCTCTCTCTCTATCTCTTTCTATCTCTATCTCTTTCTATCTCTATCTCTTTCTATCTCTATCTCTTTCTATCTCTATCTCTTTCTATCTCTATCTCTTTCTATCTCTATCTCTATCTCTTTCTATCTATATTTCTCTCTATCTCTATCTCTTTCTATCTCTATCTCTTTCTATCTATATCTCTCTCTATCTCTATCTCTATCTCTATCTCTAAGCCAAATACCTTCTAAAAGACGCTTTTGCTATGTATCTCCGCAGCTAACATCGCCCCTAAGGTGTAACCGGTTTCATTCGGACTATTACAGTATTTAGAGCTCATTTATTATTAGTATTTATTTTTTCATTACAATAATGAAATTAATATTAAAATTCTTAATTTTGTATAATAAACAATAAACTGTAATGGGGCAAGAGGTATTTTTATTCCACTTTATTTGATTTTCTCATGCTGTTGCTATATTTTTTCTACTTTTTTTCATATCAGTTAACCATTCATTCAATTCACTCAATCACTTAAGAGCAATCTTCTTTTCCACTAGCAACAGTAGTTAACGACAACAATATTTGTTGTCGAATGTTTTCATCATCGACATCGCCATCATCATCATCAGCAACAACAACAACAACAACAGGCAACAGGCAACTGGCAACTAGCAGTCACAGTCAGTCAGTCAGAGTCATTGAATCTACACTTCTCATTGTCTTGAGATCAAAGGCTGACTACATATAAGAGTATACGAGTCAAATATATATGTGTGTGTGTGTTGTACTATTCACGCCACATTGACAAGCATGTGTTTGGATGCCGGTGCATCTATGGAAGTATAGAGATAAACATACAAACGCATGAAGACTGTTGAGTGTATGCAAGTGTGACTGCTGCTTTGTACTATCTTGAACTTTTACAAGGAGTGCAGCAGCAGCAAGTACGCTGGGGTGCAGCGATAAACTGGCAGATTTTCTTCTTACACACATATTTTTACTTACATACACGTACATGTATATATATGTATGTATGTAGTATAATGTGCACTTTAATACTATAACTATAATAAAGTTGGACATATTTACATAAATATTATAGTCGGTATTATCACAAGTTAGTGCCAAATGCATTGACGAGCTGCACAAAACATTTGCATCGCACAGCGTTGCACAGTGGATTCGTTACATGCTTTTTTTTAATAAAAATAAATAAAGGAAAATAAATAAAATTATCGAGTGAACTTTTTCTTTAAGGCAACTGAATTTCAGGGGCAGTGAGACACATGAGAAAAATTAATTAAATAAATTTTAGAAAGGCGTTGTTACAAAAAAAAAAAAACATTTCAAAAATTATCAAACAGAAAAAATAAATGTTTCAGGGGATTTTTCTTTCTCTTTTTTGGGCAGATGCCATTTGAAAGTATTAATTCAATAAAGTTTAGAAAATAATGTATATCTTTAAAAAATATTCTAAAGAGAAAATATAAGTGATATAAGTTCGGGTGAATTTCTCACTTCAATTAAAATATTTTTTTTTTTTTGGGATGGTTGCCACCTGAAAAAATGAAACATTAAATTTTTAAAAGCCAAAAAATTATTACAATGTACACATCTAGGAAAAATATTAAGGAGAACAAATAAATGTTTCAGGTAATACTACTAATATTTTTTTGGGTTGTTGCCACCTGAAAAAAACCATTCAATAAGGTTTAGAAAAGGGAAAAGAAAATATTACACTTAAGAAAATATTAAGGAGAAAAAAAAAACAAATGTAAATTGAAATTTTTTAAAAACTAAATTTTTTTAGAGGGGTTGCCACCTGAAAAACGTAACTCCATACGCTTAAGTATACTAAGAAAACCAATAAATTGTTGTTTCGAAAAGAAAGTTTTATTAACATCAATTTTTACTGCATTTCCAGTGCAAATATTCAAAGCTTAAACCACCAAGAAAAAAAAAGCTCAGACACTCCAATTTAATATGAAACTATTCTGGAACAATAACATCTATCCATGTGACGTACTCTTTCCTTCATTTCTTTTTTTATTTTACATAATATTTTTAATTTAAATATATATCTATATACTCGTACATATATATATTTTATTATTATTATTTTATTATATATCTTATTCTGAATTTAACCCACTGTCGGCCGATAAAGTTATCGCTGTCGCCGTTTCGTCTTCTTTGCCATGGTTCCGCCCGCCAACCCCGTTGAGAGAAGAATAAAAGAGTCTCGAAGAGCTTTGGTACATACATATATATGAACATTTATATGTATTGTATATATGAATGTATGTCTGTATGTACTAAACGCACATGACTGTGAGTGATTAAGCAAACAAAGCAGCAAAGTTGAGAAAGAGCAAAGAAGCAATAATAACATGGAAGCAGAAAACAATAGAGTAGAGTGTGTTATTTATAAACAACAACAACAACAAAAAGTATAAAATATATATAAAAAAGGTTTGAAATTTCCAATAAAACCGTAAAAATGAAATAAATAGTAGAAGAAAGAAAAAAACTTATAGAAGCATAAAAAATATATAACTAAAAACAACATCAATAAAAAATCAAGGCAGCAACAACAAAATAAAATGTGCATAAAAACTAAATATTCCAACTATGCGCTCATATATACATAAATAGCATGTACGTACATATGTATTATATTGTACATATGTTTGTTAAATATATGAATGTATGTATGTGAGTATGTAAATTATATTGGCTGATGCTGTTGCTCACGGTTAAAGTGACGGTTGCGTTTGCCGCCAACAAAAACAACAATAATAATAACAACAACAACACACTGTTGCACTAGCGAACGGGTGTGGCTGCGCACGCTGGTGGCAAGATATGCATTTACTATTTAGTATGATATGCGTATGTACATAAAAACATATTTACTATAAATATATATATACGTACGTAACGAGGTGTGTTCCAACAACGAGCTAATAAATGATTTGAGAACTTTTATGTACATAAGTATGTATGTATGTATATATGCAACTTGATCTATGTACATATATTATTCGCACGCAAAGAAACAGAAGAAAGCTGAGAAAAAAAGCTATGTAGATATGTATGTACGATAGCTAATATGCATTTTAAAGTCTGAGAGCGCATTTATGCTTAGAAATAACAAAATTCACACAAATGTATTGACAAACATACATACATACATCTGTACATATATATGTATGTATGTGCTCCTTGGTAATTTTTGTATAAAATTTGATATGCGCTAAAAAGCAAAACATTTTTTTCTTGCCTTTCAACACCATGCCATGCGGTCAAGTG